TCCCCCAGTTTACTAACCTACTTTCCTTTATGCCAATCTTCTTTGGTACTTTTGCCTATAAAATCGCATCATCTATTAGCGTGTGTGCTCAGGATCTTATCTCACCAGTTCTTTCTGATAGCCTTCCCTCCTACATTGTCACTTCGCCCTTCCGATGGAAGCGACTCCGGCCAGTGTTCAGCCCCTGCCAAACTGCCAGGTTCAGCCCCTGCTTTTCCACTGACTGGCAATGTGGACTTTGGTGAGTTATTTAACCTTGCTAAGCCTCAGTTGCCCTATTTACAAACTTGGGTTGATGATACTACTGATAGTAAATTAGTACATGTAAATTAGTGCCTGCAGCATAGTCAAAACTCAGTAAGTATGAGTTACTGGTCATTTACAGCTTAAACCTTTCCCTTGATCCTGCATCTCCACATTCTATCTCCATGAGCTCCTCCTCACAGTCCTATTTCTTGAATTGTTTATGTATAGTGAGTTCATTTTGCACTTCAAAACTTTTATTTGCTTAATTTCACAAAAGTTGTATTCACACAAACATAGCCAGATACTGTAGTTCAAGGGTTTGTAATAAAACAATAATATCTATCAATTCACAAGTACACATTTCCAGCTTTCTAAATTCTTTTGATATTCGTGTCCATGAAAAATGTTTACATACTATGGCTTGATGTCTTCTCCTTTCTACTATGCAACATGAGGACTTTGTTCTCTTTCTAATACTGCCCTGTCCCTGTGACATCTGTACCCACACTCTTGACCCTTTGGCTTCTTATATCGTAATTCTTAGTATATAGTTTACACAGCATTTCCTTTTATGGTTAAATGTTACTGACAATTGAGTTAGGGATGCTTTATAGTCTTTCTTTTCTGTAAGTCTCTTGGCACCTACCCCTACTTGCTGTATAAATCTCAATGGATTCAAGTACATTGGGGATTCTATCCATTTCATCCTGGAAAGCACATCCCAGGGAAATTCTGACCTGTTGCCATCCGACAGGGTGTCTTCTAGGCTGTGCAACTGCTGTCATTTTGTTATCTGTCTTCATCTTCCTACTCCGTGAAAATCCTCTCACCTCTCTCTTTGGTTGGATTACTGGAGCTCATACCATCCTCTTTCTTGGGTTAGTTCTCTTCTTTTGGTAGAACATACTCTCCAGTAGTTTTCTGGGAAAGAATGCATAAGACCTTGTATACCAGAAAATGTCTTTATTCTCTCAATGCATTTGATAGTATGAGTATAATTAGGTCAATATATGCTGGTTTCCAGTGTTGCTTTCAAAATATAAACTATTTCTGATTCTAAATTTTAGGAATCTTTGTCCCCAGTATTCTGACATTTCTGTAATGGTGATTGATGGTAGTGAAGATGATGGTGATGATGTTATGTTTTATTTAAGAGACTTTAAAACCTTTATTTCAATCTGGGTCTAGTCAGGTTGAAAACCCTTGAACTTTTTAAGGACTTCCCAGTTACAACAGCTAATAAAACTCCTTAAATCTGATGCTTCCCTTAAAATGTTTCAGAGTCTTCCCAATGGTTCTATGGTAAATGTCAAGCTCAGTGTGTGTTTCCTTACATTTTGTCTTCATCTACTGCATAGTCATTCATTCAAATACATATCAAATGATACTGAATGTCTATTAAATGTCTAGCATTTTGTTAGGTACTAGGAATACAGTAACAAATAGAATTTGTTTGTCCTTGTGAAGTATGCTACTATTTAGTTTATTAGGTACACGAATATAAAATAGCAAATAAAATTTAACAAATATGAAGTATGTTAAGTGCTTTCTGTAGCTAAATATACTACAAATCTGGCACCTATTTAATATCTAAAACTTCATCTCAGGTCTCTCTTCCCTGGCTTACTACACTATGGAAAATAATTGACTTCCTCTGGCAACAGCATGGTTACAAATGCTATACCTCCTACTTGGAGCTCTCTTGTTACTTTTTGGCTAATTTGTATGCATGCATGTTTCAAGTTTCAGCTTAACTGTCACTTTAAGAATAACTCTTCTAGATTCATCAATTTTAATTTGACTCCCCACATCATTATTCTCTTCAACATTCTTCCAATTGTATTCCAACATTATTCTATTCCAATATCATAAGATTCACTAAGTCCTCCAGTTGAATACAGAGAAATATCATGGAAATAAAATCATGGTGTAAAGAAGGAATTTTTAGATCAGAAAGGCAGAACAGTTAAGAGAGAGACAACCAGTAAAGCAAAGAGAGCAGTCTGGTGATTCTCAGACAGCAAATTGTTTATGAATTTCTGATTTTTTTCATATCCATACATTGGAAAATCATAAAAATTTTAGTGATATTACAGAAATGTTTGATATTTTGGCACTAGATTTCATTTGATAAATACTTCAACATCTATAAGCACAATAGAGACAAAGAAAACTTAAGGCAGAACAAAAGTTTGAAGCAGAAAACACACTGTGATGCCTATTTTCTAGTCTTGACTGACTGCTGATCTAACAGATGTAATACAGACCTTTACTTTTCTGGTGTGTGGAAATCTTGCTTAATGCTTTTCATCACCAACTAAGAGCACAAGCCACTCCTTTCCAAACTCCAAAGTGATGCTAAAAAGGAGTGGGGAAAATATCTCATAGCTAGCAGCTGAAAGGGTAGACAGCAGTTTTTGTAATTATCATTTCAAAACTATAGATTTTTTAAGATGACATAGACCTGACAAATTCTAGCACTATTCTTCACAATGGAGGAGACTGTATCACAATTCTTGAGTTTAAAACAGATCAAAGCATTTACCCTCTTCCACTCTTGTTAGGTTTTTAAGGTAGTTTTACTTTGGGACAGTTATTGGCCTGAGTTCTCTTCCCTGTGGAGCCTGAGAATAAATGTAATTCACATTTCACTCATTTTCCTACATTTCAAGTTACTGTTGTTGCTATGGATTAAGAACTGGTGGTCAACTTAATGCCAGCTGAATTAAATCAGCAGGGCACTGAGCATAGATGTTCCACCTGAGGAAAGTTGCCAGCATAAATAGACACATGGAGGAGAAGCTATGTGTTGAGGCATTGTGGATTCTCCTAGGAGTTGCTGTTTGAGCTGCTGGGTCTCCTGGAAAAGCTCTGGTCCTTACATCGAGCATTGCTTCCTGGCTCCAGAGGGAAAGACGTGTGCCACTTGGTCTCCAGGATAAACTTGTCACGCTGGCATGTACTGGACTATGCTTGTCATTGAAAGAGCTCAGGGCTCCTGTGTTGCTGAGGATGGCTGTGGTGCTTTCAGGACAGCCCTGGTCTTTGTTGTGTGTGTGACTTCTAGGCTCCAGCGTAGAACCCTTAGCCTACCAGCACAGCTCCTTCACCCCACTGGAATAGACTTCCTAGCTTCCACTGCTGACCATTGGACCTGCCCAGCACAGATCCGTAAGAGACTGGAGTGAGTCCTTTTTATGGGCTCTAGACCTCCAGTTGGACTCATGGGAGGCATTCATTGTCACGAGCTCTGGGTCTTCATCTGGACTCATGTGGGATATTGCTGTGGGATTTAGGCCCTTGACTAAATATTCTGTTTTTGGTGTTGTGGATAGATTTCCTGCATTTTGTTGTATTAACTCTGGGTGACCATCATAAAAATTATATTTTTATATTATAAATGTCCTGATTTTAATTGTTCTCCTCACAACCCCTGACTACAACAGTTGTGTCAACCTAAGATTTTCTATAGATTCTTCTGACTTCACATACAACAGATGTCAATTCATTTTTCATCATGTATTTCATGTGAAACTCACATCCAACTCCCCAACACATCCCTACTGCCCCTTTTCTAATCTCTTAAGATGCAGGTATTTCTGCATCCCAAGTCGTATCACCTGTCGTCATCAGTTTTAATAGGCACTTCCTGCTACATCCCATCAAAGCAATTATGAAACCAGGTCTGCCCCCATTCCTGCCATCAATTTTGGACTCACAACAGACTACTTTCAAACTAAAGGGCAGGACTTTAGGAGCAATCTCAACTTGATGTGGTTTTTGAATTGTCATTTATTGTACTGTCATCTTTGGATTCACATTGTGTATTTGTCTTCAGGGGTCAAGGATAAAAATGACGCACATCAAACATATAGGGCAGATAATGCTGCCAGAGGCCACTCCAAGTTGATTGAAAACCGATCATTGGGCCTTATCATTTCTGTGAATTGTTATTTCTAACAGGTGCCATAAGGTGGTTCACTTTGAGAAGCACTGTTTTATGACTGTGACTGTTTAAGTCACCATCCACAGCTGAGCCCACTCATCACCTTTTTGGATTCAGGCTGACCCAGAGGTGTATTTTGTCCTGATACTGATGCTGGATTGCATTATTATGGCTTCACTCCCTTTTTAAACTTTCAGTGAGAAAAAGGGTAACTAGATCAATTAGTCTAAACTGGTCCAGTGTTGAACCTATGGACATGTTACTTTCTTTTAAAACAAATTAATGTAGGGTCCTAAATTAAAACCTCAATATTTAGGTATAATTGCAGAATTGACCCTTCACTATAAATTAGTGGGTTTTTGGGTTTCAGTTTGGTACTCGGTCCCTTAAACTGTGGCCAGTCAGTGCTGTTTCTAAATTGTGTTTAAATGTTGACATTGCTAAAAATGAAATAAATTCTTCCATAGAGAGGTTGCTGTTTTCAAACAGATTTGGGTAACACAGACCTCAGTGCATTATAAATGAAGAGCAACACTTGTCCTTTCCACTTTGACAATTTATCAGCAAAGCACACTGAATATCTTTCAGGAGCTGGAAGAAAACTGAGTAAAGGGAAATTTCAAATGCCCTCTAGTGTTAAGAAGAAGAAATACCTTTCCTAGCTTAATTCATTATGAGGCCTTCTATACAGTCAGATTTGGCAAATCTTGGTACCCAACTCAAAACTGTGGTTTGATCTGATGCATGTAACACGAATGTAGTAGTTATTCATCGATCCTCTCCCCGGTCCCAAAAGATGCTCAAACAATGTTTTCACTTCATTTATTCCTTTAAAACAATATACAGCATTTAGTTATTTAAAATCACACACCTCATAAATAAAATCAATGCAGCTTAATGACAATGGCAAAATCAGGAATTACACAAAATGAAATCAGACATCTTCCAGGTAGCAGCAGGTGGCAAATAAGACAAAAGAAACATTTTCAAAACAGTCCATCTTCACTAAGAATATTTTCTAATGCCCAGAAAAATAACTGTGTTTTGCTCTGCCCTACTAATTTTTCAAGTTATGTTTGAATGCTCTAAACTTTTTCTTGTGGTTTTGTTTCAGGAACTTGTTTCTATTGCATTAATGCAGGGGCTAAGAAACTATTGTTACTCCTAATCCTTTTTGTCAAACATACTTTTTCTGTATTTTAAGCTGAATTTGGGATTCTTAAAGAAAAAAAAATTCTTTGCTAAATACATTATGTCCTGTAAACAACTCAAGCAATGAATGGCAACAGTGTGAAATGGACCACAGACAAGAACTGGGTCCTATGGTCCTTTACAGTCAATGGTTCCCAAACCTTTTGGCACAAGTGACCAGTTTCATGGAAGACAATTTTCCACAGACTGGGGAAATGAAGATGGTTCTGGGGATGATTCAAAGAAGGGTACAGTCTAAATCTTTCACACACACAGAGTTCACAGCAGGACTCATGCTCCTAAGAGAATCTAATGCTACAGCTGACCTGACAGGTAGAATTCAGGAGGCGACACACGGGGACCGGGTGTAAATACAGGTGATGCTTTGCTTGCATTTCCTGTTATGAGACCCAGTTCCAAACAGGGAGTGGACAAGTATCAGTCTGTGACCTGGGGTGGGGGTTGGGGAGTCCTACTTTAAGTTACTTAAGGGTTTACAGTCAGACTCAAGCATTTTACTAGAAATTCTATACATTTCTGAGGTTAACCTTTCCGTTTGTAAGGTAAGTAAATCCTACCTCAGTATTTCTAAACTACATGTAGGTTAGTTGCTTTGAAAACAGAAATGTTAAAGGGTATCACAGAAAAATGCTTATAGTGTGATCTTTAACAAGTTTTCCCACTTAAGTCCCTGTTACATTCTGTGCCAAGTAATCAAATAAAAGGGTTAAGGTGACAAAAAGACATTGCTTGAATATTGTCTGAGAAGTGTAGTTTATGAGTAGGAATGCATCCATTTGACAATCCCTTTTTAGTGCTACTTAATTTTCCTACTTTTTTTTAGTCTAAAATATGACTGGCGGTTACCAACCTCCTTTAAATGCATGTAAATCTAGACACAATTCAGACCAAGGTAATCGTTTTTTCCCCAAGTCAAATATTCAAAGCACTGTAAACAAAACACTAGCTTATTTTCGGGGAAGAAAAAATAAAACACTTTCCATAACCAGGAAGTTTAAAAATTCTTTTTGTGTTAGATAAAACGTGCTGCAATAATATAATGCTTACTAAGAAAACACAGTTAATAAACTAGCTTATTCAAATGATTTCACTTTACACTTAAAAATTACGTTGCTTATATAGTATACTTTTAAGGCCTCTGATTCAAAAATCAGCTTCCTTAAAATAAGTTCACTTAGAAAAACTAAGAATCTAATCTTTCAGGAATTATTAGTCATTTTTCTGCTACTAGGACAAATGTGAATACTGCAATGCACAACGAATGATAACAATCACATCAAAGTAGTAACATTTTTAAAATGCTAGGCTCCAGATCATGCTTCCAGCTACTGAAGTTGAATTCCACTGTTATCAAAACACCACAATGTTGTACCACTAAACACTGATAGCAAAAGCTGACCAAGAGCTGATGGTTAGCAGTTCAAGAATTGCTTTAATGTCCTTAACAAGATTCTTAGAGGGCTAACCATGTAAACTTCTATTTCTTAAAGTGCTGCAAATAAATGTTTCTCATCACATAAAAGAACATAATTCTTGATTTAAGTTTAAGAAGGCCACCTGACTTAACAAAATTTAAAATGAAGTTACTCCGATGCTTAATCTTACATATCCCCATTGTGACTTTTTTCAGAGAGACATACAAAACTATGTTTAAGCTGGGGCAACTTGTAACATCCAAGTTTTAATTCCTACGTGAGGCAGAAGGAGTAAGTTAGATAAGCCAGTTAGGAATGGGCACTTATGGGCATATATAGATAGGTGTTAATTCATTCCTGATTATCATTTTGTTGGGACATGAACTTCATGGAACACTCAAATGGCATGACATTAGTTCTTAACAGGGTCAAGCTGACCAGCAGCCAAGCTTCGAAAGAAGTCAATCATGGACCACTAACAGAAGATTTAATGGATTAATGTATCACCATAAAGCTAGCATATCATTCCTAGGGATACTAATTTTAACTCCTGAAATAATTCTACCCAGCTGTGCATATTCATAGCATTATACCTCATCCTTAACCTGAATAGTAAGGGAAAGGAGGGTTGAGGTGGGAAAGCACAGTTGTTATGGTTTTTTAAGCAATACTAGTGGTTGAACTCAAGGCCTTTACTCTGAGCTACATCCCTAGTCTGTATTTTATTTTTTGAGACATGGTCTTGCTAAATAGCTTAGGGTAGCTGTACTTGTGATCTACCTGCTTCATCGTCCCAGAGTGTTGGAGCCAGCTGGAAAGCACAATCTTTATATTCTACCACTAATGTAAACTGTCCTCACATTAATTAAAAAGTTTTTGAATAACAGATAAAACTGCATGAGTAGGAAGAAGTTTCATTCTGCTCCAGTGTAAACTTAGGATGAAGTGTTTTTAATCCTGCTGCAAGCACTAAATAAAATACTTTTCAAAATTCCCAAGACGAGAATTTACTCACATTCATAACTAATTTCAAGTTTAATAAGCTCATAAAAATAACACCTTAAAATCTATGAGGCTTACAAGCTTGTGTTTAGAATAAACATAAGGCCAGTTTATAGTTTTTAATAATTAAATGACCTACAAATAATGCTTCATTCTGAATTTTCTATCAGTACTGAATTTCAACGAAGAATTTAAAAAGTCAGTTTTGAAACTAGTACGACTTATCATTGTCCACCTGAATGAACCATCCAGGTAAAAGATATGGTAAGATCCCCCGAATATTTCACAATATGTAAGCAAAACATTTAATATGAAGAGCTTTAATACTGAGAAATATGTGTTCTACTTCTATTTGTTAAATTAATAAGAAATCCATTGTAGATGATATATACCCAATTTTAAAGTGTTAGGAGTTTATGTTGTGGAAACATCAAAAAATGCCTGGCACATTATATATTACTCAATAAATACTTGTTGCACGAAAGAACATCTAGATCTAAAACTCAAGTGAATGTCTTGCTATGTAGTTCAGGCTGGCCTTAAACTCACAGAAATTCTCCTGTCTCAGCCGGCTGAGTACTGGGGCCCAGTAGTATTTTTCTTAATTTAGTTTTAAATTTCTGATTTTCTGGGGAAATAAGATACAAAAACTATCTAGAATCAGATGACAAGACAGTACAAAAAGATTTTCATATCATATTCACTAGTACATATCATGATTGCCAAACATTAAGTATGTAAGCTCCCAAGTGCTATTTTTAAGGCTCAGTAAAAAAGAATACTTTCAACTTATAGTGACCATAACTTGTAATGCCTAAAACAGCTACATAAAAAGTACATACATAAAAAGTACTTAAGAAATATCATGATAATTTGAAGCATACTTTGTGAATTTTTTCTTAAAGGACCTTTTCTACTACATTGGTCACTTTAATATTCCTTAATTTTACATGACCACTTTCACCAAGTGAAAAATCTCAATTTTAAAACCTTTGCCAAGAAAATACATGGAGCTGTAAGTGCTCTAAGGTGTGTCATTGGTTTTCTGTGCTCTAAGGTGGTATCATTGGTTTTCTAAGTGAGACACTTAATCAGAAATGAGACCAAGATAACAAAACTTTATAAAATTAAGCTCCTTTACATTGTGTGAAATAATACTAAACAATTACAATTTAGCATCCCTGATCTTCAGAAGAAGAGGTAGAAAACTTTTATCTGGAAGATCTTTTAGTGAAGCTAAGTTTTACAGGGCATAATAGCAAACGGCTACACTTCTAATATTAGGATGAAGCAGAATTGTGAGAAACGTGAATAAGGCAAGGATTTAAAAACTTTCATATTTTGGAAGTGAAATAAATGACATCAATTACTTTAATACTGTTCAACAGTCAAAGATCACAAATAAGCAAAGTGCTAACTTGCAGAAACGTGGAATGTTCAAGAGCATTAGTAGAGGGATACAGCTAGCAGAAAAATACACACCATTTAGGTATGCAAAAGATTTTACAAAAATTAACCCAAAGCATAGCATAACCACTTTACATGAAGACTGTTTCTGAAGGAAGTACTCTTTAACAAAAAGCTGGGGAAACGAAATTCCTCAGACAAATCTGTATGTAAAAAAAGCAAAAACGCAGTGCTCAAATGTGAACATCAATTAAAAAAGCATACCCTGCTTAATTTAAAAATTGTATCAACAAGACCAATACATGAATTACATTAAAACATGAGGCCCATGGTCTTTTAAAGCTTCAGTAAGCTGCTTCAGGCACCTTTTCCTTGTACATTCTACTTTTGTACACTATAATCTTAAAACAGTACCCTACTAGGTCCTGTTTTAGATAACATTCTCAAGGAATAAACATCTCCCCGTAAAAATTGCTTGCTGTGTACTTATAAAGTCTACCAAATTGCAATATAAAAGAGTTTTGACAATTCTGGATATTTGCATTTGATGAATCAATTCATTCAGAAGCTATTAACTTACTAAGACTTATTAAAAGGAATCAATTACTGGAGACACTGTGATATATGTCCAGTGGCTTCACATGCAGTCTTTCACATTATCTGAAACGTTTTCTTCTACAAGTTAAAGCTGCTGGGTGCGAGTTTATAATACTAAAATCCAGTCTTCAGGTTAGTGTCAGTAGGTGGCAAGGACATCTTCTGTCATCCCAGCAGAAAGATGGCATGTATCACCACTGTAGACACACATCTGTAAACTTGCACACTAATTTTAATCTTAACAAGTAATTTCAATGTCTTAGTGGTTGAAGTTAAAAGAATGGTTCAAGCATTGTGTCACTTCGTATTTCAGGGTTACAAATAGCTTATTGGAAAATCCAGAGCCTTCTGGCTCTGTGAGGTAGTAGGCTTCAACCCTCATCATGCATAGATCACACTTCTCCAAAGTTGGTATGGCCTGTCTCCTTGGCATGCTCCCGTGCTTCTGCTTGTCCAGTTAACCCCTTCTGACACACCATGCATCTTAGGGTGAAGCGGTTCACATCAGTAAACTGTCTCTTTCTTCTAGCTTCATCTGCTAATTCCAGTGCTTGTACAAGAACAATATCATCATTACAGGAGAAAATGGTCAGAGGTGGGGTATCAGGATCTGGAAAGTTGCGCTGAAGTGGATCATAGTGGATGCCATCATAGATAAGCAAAACCCTTTTGGAATATCCTGCATCTTCCCCAAAACGATCAATTCTTACTGTTTGAGTGTCTACTACACATATTTCACATTGATAAAACTTAGATAAAATGGATATCTCAATTGCTCCCCCCCAAGTATCATCCCTTTTGATCCAGTCACAGTACTCTTCATTTGTTTTTCCCAGTATTGCCTCACTATAGAAATCTGGATCACTTGCCACAATTTGTGCTATGAGGCGTCTCATCTCCGGGGCACAAGCTGGATTCAAGACTCCTCCTTCAACGACATAATACACACTGGTAAAGAGGCATGAGTTGTCTGCTGGGACCACGGTTCTGGAAAGCACAGGCAAAGGTTCCCTGACATAACTAGGAGCACCATGATTTGTAAATGCAGATGGAGTTCTAGGCCTGGTTTGGTCTTCTTCAACGATCAGCATGTCGCCTGTTAAAATAAAACAAATCCAGACTGCAAAGAAATGATAGATTAAATTAGGTGTTCACTAGCCAAGTTCATAGGTTACAATAAGAAGGAGCATAAAGTAGAATACAACTTTGTAAACAAGTGACTAGTGGCATTTTTTGTTTACCGAATCTTCCTAAAGATAAAAAAGAACAGAACGTTTTAGGTTGCATCCTCATTTAGTGAGGGGGCCTGGGGCATACAGCGTCATACTTACATGACATATTTCAAAAAACAAAATTTCTTCATCCGCTGTCTGCATTTAAAAGCACAAATCTTCCACAAGGTAGTCACATACAGTTTGCCACTAGGGGGCTCTCCTTCTAAAACGTAACGTCTACCCAACGTAATGTCTACGGGGGTCCTTAACCCAGGAACAGGACACTTTTAATTATTAACCTTGATGTTCAAGCGTTAATGTTGGTCAGAACTGCTGTTGATTAAAACTTGAAAGAGCCTTTAGTGAATGTTCAAAATCTAATTGGAAAATGAATATATCTGTCAAATTAATATATGAAGGGTCCTACAAAATCAAGAAAGGAAAGAAAAAATGTTCTACACCCCTTAGATCTGCCGGACCATGATAACGACCATCGAGACAGAAAACACAGGATCTACACCCCAACATTTTGGGTATACGGTGGAAACAAAATGAACGAGTTATCTTCAAGGTAAATCTGGAAGCCAGTTGGGGAAACAGGGCTCCAGGGCCTGGGGCTTTTCTGTTCACCTGCCCTACAGACAAGGAGTTGCGAGACACTTGCCCGTCTCTATCAGGGCCCTGTTCCCCTCCCCTTGGTCCCAAGGCGCCTACATGACCCAAGCCATTTTGCCCGGACTGGGTCTCTGTTCGTCATTCCACGGCCTCCTCACCCCCCCCTCGTCCCCGCTTCCCTTACCTGACTGAATAGGCAGGTCTCCCAGGACTGTTTCCCCGTTGCTGAGATCCAGGCACTCGGGCGGGAATCCGACAAGGATTCGCTGACCACCAGGAGCGATTCCGGTGATGGCTGCAATTTGGCCCTGGAGTTCCCGCAGCCGGGTCCGACTGGATAGCCCCTGCAAAACATGGGTGCCATCCTTGGCCTTGCAGCGGAGCCGCCACATCGTGTCGGTCCGGTCGCCCGCAGGCCAGACACCGGTGGGGCCAGCTTTGGCACCTGAACCAGGATGGGAGACGCCGCCGGGGTAACCAGCCTGGGGATGCACTCCAAAATGGCCCCCTTTGGAGGAGCCAAACATCGCGATAAATTGCCGGTGGGAGCTACAGTTCTCGCGATAGTTTTGTTTGGCGCCTGCCTTTACTACTTTAAGAAGCGCGAACTCTTTTAAAGAGACAACTGCTATTTTCGTTCACTTCCAGGAGACAGATGGACGATGTCTCCGTATTCGTATGATGCAGCTGTTCTTGCTACCTGAAGAGCAAGTGCAGGGCTCTCCGCGTGGGTAGCATATATGCTCAAAGGAAAAGGGCGGGGGAAAGAGTTCCTGAGGCAAGCAGAGTGGAATGTAACCTTAAGCTCGGGTCGGAAATCCTTAAACCGGGGCATCCAAACGACACTGCAGAAAACAGTCATAGTTCACGACGCAAGCGCATGCCAAGGATGGCCAGTGAGTCAAACGATTGTCAAAAACAATCGGAGCCTCATGACTGGGCTCGCTGGACCAAACATTGACTCACTGGATAAAGGGGTCCGGGAGACTGGTCTTTCCACTCCCGGGTGACTGTACCTTGAAAACGTCCCTTGGCAACCTCAGAAAGCACACTGTGAGGTCACGATTGGGTCCGGGCAATGCTCACTCAGGTGGTGGCTGTTTCAAGAGGGGTGTGGAGGAATAATGCGTGCCTTCCGGAGTTTCTGGGATCCCAGACGTGACGCCGACTTCATTCCTGCCTGCGGTGTAATAAATGCTCACTGTATTCTAGAAGTGGGGCCTAGGACAGGTTACCACTGAATGTCATAGCAATGCGATTATGCCGGAGTCAGGGGTTGTTTTCACCCCTGTAACCCAGAGCATAAGACTCTGCCTTGCAAATAAAGTGTCAATCAATGCTTACAGAATGGATAAAGTGTATAGGCACAAAAGGGGGCAGCTATAGCACTCTAGGAGTTGTGAAAAGGGGGCAATAACTCCGAGTTTGAAATATGTTGAAGTATGAATTCCCACGTTGAAGAAGGAATAAAAATATCCCTGAAATTATCAATAGACTCAATCACCAAACCATCCTGCTGGGCAGCTATCAAAAGTGTTGTTTGTCTGGAATGTACAAAAGCCTCCACCTGTGACTATATCACCTGAAATCTCTGCATCTTTTCCTACCTTTCCCGACTCAGTTTCCTGCTGGTGCAATTTTGCTTGTTTGTTCTTCAAGATGACTGTAACAGATGATATAGCTTGGGTAGGAAGGGGGAAAGGAAGACAGTTAGAGGCCTGCTAGTTGATATGACAAAGTCCACAACAGCTCCTAGTTCTAGCTGGACAGCTGATTTAGTTACACCGTCTGATCTGTGGGAAGGAACTGCAGACTGCCTAAAGTCAGCAGCTCAAGTGCAGTGGAAAGGTAACAAAAGCTTATGTTTCAGTTTATGGAACTGTAGATCTAACAAGGTCCAGCCAGGATTCAGGAATGCAAGTGTTAATCTTGGCACTAGAGTCACACCCCCGCTAGACTGCTACTTAATAGTGTGCTCTCGCGAGAATATGAAAATAAAAAAGCAAGGGTTTTATTAACCCCGCCCCCAGCCCTATTAGTTACCAAGCAACCTTAGCCCGGCGGGGAGACTTGCCCAGCGGTCTTTCTCCTTCACCGCTGGGTCCTCGGGTGCGAGCCTGGGTGGGAACCGGCGTCTGGAGCCCCGCCCCGTGGGCCCTGCAGGTGCTCGATTGGCCGATGGCTGATTCTCTCCAGGTGCGGACGACGCGCAGTGGGCGGGGCCGGGCGGAACCACGTGACGAGCCGGGACTTGTAGCCCGCCCCGGCCGCTGGCTGTCAGCTCGTCTGCCGCGTTACCGGGGCAGCGCCGGGGCCGCAGCCCAGAGGATTTCTTAGGAGAGATCCTAGGGTGAGCGACAGCAGCTCAACGCCTGGCGGTCTGGGCCGGCGGGATGAAGGCGTTGTTACCGCTGGGAGGAGGTCCTGGGCAGTGATGCCTAGTCCTTTAGGCAGAACCAGCTTTGGGCGCCGCGGGGTTTGCGTACCTTCAGAGAGCGGAGCGACAGCTGGTGTTAGGGCTGGAGAATTTGTGCGGTCCGTGGAGGAACGGTGCGAGGTCTCTGAAGCAGTGGGACCTTGTGTTCTTGGTAAATGGGTGTGGGGTGTGAGCTTGGGGCTCTCGCGCCACTGTTCGTATCAGGACTTAGCCTCATTTTGCAAGTAACCTTGGGGAAGTCATTTACCTCCTCAGCGACCCGTTCCTCCTTTAGACAGATTCCCAGGGGATAAGTAGGGTGACCGAGAACACTAGAGGAGAAATAGTGACGTGCTAGGGTTGTCTCGGGGTTCCTTTGAGGTAAACGCGATTTCCCTCCCCTTCCCACTCTCGTTTTTCCTTTAGGGCTGAGTCTACCTTTGAGCTGGACTTACGTTCTTGATAATGAACTTGATCTATTTCCACCCCCACTGAACCCCTAATTGCCACTACTGTTCTCCCCAGATTCTTAAAACTAGGAGGTCAGGAAGAAAGGTGGACACACCACTTAATCAATTAACATGATTTCAGTCTGTAAAATAGGAAGTAATAATAGTAGCAAAATCTGCCTTATGAAAGGATTATTCGAGGGATTCAAGAGCAAAGGTCTATGAATGTAAACTCAGTCCGCAAATAAATGCAAAGTTTTGGTGTAGCTCTCTGTAGGTCAGGAAACAGTGGGCTTAGAAGTTCTGGCTTGTTGGGAGGCAGGTAACTGGTGCCTGGAAGAAAGAGGCCTGGCCTTGATTCTTGGCTGGGGTTCTGTCGCATATCCCACTCTGATCCTTTGCACGGAGAGTGTTGAGAAACTGGTTCCTTCTCTTCCTGCCATTCTTTTTTTTTTCCCTCTTCTCCTCCCTTCCCCTAGGCACCTTCTGAAGAGCTACCATGTCTGGAAATGTCTCGTCTTCCACAGAACCCAGCAACAACAGCCATGAAACCAAATCCACAAATCTTCGAATGTCAGACAAGAAATGTTGTGAGTCGGGGAAAGAGGAGGGGCTGCCATGTCTTGGGGTTTTATCTTGGGAATGTAGTCATGATCTTAGGCTTTGCTGCTTAGTGAGAGTGAAAAATAACTTACATGGGAACAAGTTTCCAGGGGGCAGTTTCCTGTCTAAATCAAGTGGACTTAGTGACATGTCCTGCAATTCCTTATTGCTTTGTTTGCTGGGTCTTCGTAGTTAATGAGGTTGGAAGTGTTATGGTCAGGTGGAGTGACAGTGCAGGAATTTCTTGGGGATGCTACTCTGCTTTCCTTTATCTGTTGGGTAAGGTTCTGGAGTGCGCTGCTCATTGTAGAGATTGCAGGTAGGAGACAGCAGTACTGCTATATTCCTACAGGCTTCCAGCGAATGAGTCCTGACTTCCTGTGAACTCTGTTTTCTTCAGCGTCTTTCTTTCTTACTGGTTTTGCCTTTGTGCTTTGCACATTATTGCATAGGAGCATATCCATGCTGGTCTTGTAGACAGAGACAGGAGTAGACGGTGGCAGGAAATGAAGCTTCATTTCTTGACCTTTTGCGTCTATATTCCTACCTTATATTAGGCTGTAGAGCGTCCCAAGAGGCTGGGATATTCTCTAGGAATGCTGATGCTTGCTCCTGCTTTTAAATTGCATCTTTCCTTTGGAACTGTACCAGTCAGTTTTTCTCACTTTAGTGGAGATGTATCTATCTGTCTGCCTGTCTGTCTCTCTACCCATCAATCAATCAGCACGTAGAAGCAGCCACCTAGTATGAGACCAGGAATTGTCTCATGCTGAAAGCTATTCCCAGAGCCTTGACCTTGATGCTAAGCTCTTGTGTCAATCTCATGATTAATGATGACTGTCTCTCTTCACCTAGCATCATGAGGTGTGCTGGACAGAAGCAGCTGGTTTGGATATGTTAGTGAGGCTGGCACGCATGCCTCTACAGTTTGGGTCTCCTTTCTCTGCCAGGGCACAAAGCCAGGCACCAAGGGCAAAATGGCCTATGAGAGGTAACTAGTTCATATGATGCTTAAGAGTAGCCTCTAGTCAGCTTGCCTGGGCTTGAAACTATTTCCTAGCTGTGTGCCTTAAATGAGTTACTTATCCTCATCATGTCTCCCTTTACTCCCTTTTCAAAGTAGAGATGCTGATGTACCTTCCTCAAGAATGAAGATTAAATGCGTAAACATAGGAAAACAACTAGCACAAGAGACTATCTGCCTGCTGTATTTATTCCTGAAACTTATATAAGTCTTATCGTTCTCAAATGCTATGCTTGGAGTTGAGCATCTCTTAGAAGAGCACTTTCCCCTCTCCTGGGAAAGAATGTGGTCTGCTCTTGTTAACAATATTGTAACCCAAACTTGGAGATCTGGGATGCTGCCCTTCATGGAGATGTACTCTCATTACTAGGATTATTGGCCCAAAAGAGGGCGGAGAGCTGTCTGTGGTAGCAAATGCCTGTAATCTGGCACTTTGGGAGTCTGAGGCAGGAGGATCACAAATTCAAACCCAGCCTGGGCAATTAGTGAACTTAGCAAGACCTTGTCTCAAAATTTAAAAAACAAAACAAAACAAAAGTCTGGGGATATAGCTCAATGTGAGGGCTCTAGGTGCAGTTCCCAGTACCTCCCCACTCTTTGCTGCAAAAAATAGCAAGAACTAGGGGCAGGGGTAGAGCTGATCATTGTGGGGTTTTGTGACTACAGTATGTCCTGTGTCGGTCCTGGCTCTACCTTCTCCATCAACATCACCTGCCTTTCTAACTTTTTAAAATTTTTCTGCTTTGAGGCTTTTAATGAAGGAAACAGTAATCCCATGTCTTTCAGGTTTTCTAAACTGTCATTGCTGATCTGAGCTCTGCTTTCTTCTTTCTGAGCTCCATGCGCTTTTTCCAAACTGCTTGTTCTCCTCAGCTGAGGATTTGAGTCATTTTAAAGCTGTCACCTTTCACCGACCCTCTTTCCTTACGGTGGGGCTGTGACACTGACAGTTGTGGTCATAGGAGAATGTATGCTTATGAAAATGTTTCCTTTTGCCTGCTATGTTTGGAGACATATAACTTGGATTCTTTTAGACATCTTCTGGTATATTGGTGACAACAGATTCATTATTATACTCATTTCTGCTGCCTTTAAAATTTTTTAATGTATTGTGGACATCTTTTCCGTGCTGGTAAATTCAGAGTCCCCAGATTCTGAATATTGTGGAAAATGTTCCTTAGTAGGGGCACCCTGGCTGCCACTCAGCTGTTATCCCTTGCTGCTAATGTGTTGGCTGACTCTTGAGTCTGAGCAATGGCTTTAGAGAGCCCAAACCTCCCAAGGAGTATTGCTGGGACCTAAGCCTTCCTGGGGCTTGGGCCCAAGGGAGGCCTGGCTGAGTGACTTCAAGGTGGAGGCAGGAATGTGGGGAGATTGCATGGTTTTTCTGCTTCTTTTGTTTGGATATTTTGATTAGATCTGTAGCAGGCAAGTTCCTATATATGCCTTTTCCTAAATACAGGAACAAAGCACATTCATGAAAAATTCAAACCCAGAAAGTGAAAAGTGAAAATCTTATAGTCTTTCCCATCTTTGCAAAGTGTTTGACTCTTTTAGACAATCTTACTGTGATGTGCACATAAATTCATACTATACATATTCTGTTTTGCCATTTCCTTTAAAAGCGTGTTATCTTATAAACTGTTTTGCATGTTGGTACATCCAAATTCACCTCACTCTGCACTATATGGATATGCTAGTTTTTCACTGTCACAAAAATTGTTGCAGTGAGCATCCTCATGCCTTAGTAAGTTTGTATCCACAACTTTCTTTACAGAAGTAGGTATAAGAAACACATTGGAAATGTTAATTTCTGTTACTGTGGCACTTCACAGAAGTTTTGTGTTATCCTCTCTTTCCAGTATTTCAAGATATTTGCTGGAAGGTGAATGTTGTCAGTTTACACTATGCACTGGTTAACGAAATTATCTGTTTTCCTAGTTTTTAGCAGCAGTTGTATCAACTTGGTTATTTCTCATGCCCATCAGTAAATAACAGGAAATATCAGTTTTTATGACTTCCACTGAGTAAAAAATGTTACTTAGGAAACCTACTCTATGGATGCAGATTTCAGAGCAGGAGGCCCATTTGCAGGGAATGCTGGAAGAACACTTTGCCCATGGAAAGGCTGGAACCCTTGCTTTTGTAGACCATCCTTCCAGATTAGGATGGAGAAGGTAATTTGGTTTACCGTGGGGTCCTATGGTCAGATGCTGTCATGCGGCCAGAGAGCTGGCAGCTGCGCCTGAATGGGCAGTCATGAGACCAGGAGTCCAGTCAAGAGCCCTGACCTTGACCTTCTGTTGTGGTACTGTGTGCAGAGCTCTAAACTTCTCCAGGCTTGGTTTTCCCATTTGTTTGAGGAAATTTGTCAAGCCACGTCCTATCCAAGCATGCTTATGAAGACAAAATCAGTCTGCTCAAGAGAACAAGTTGAACTTTCTGTAAAGAAGGCAGAATTTCAAGATTAAAACAGGCTTGTGTTGTATGTCAAGAGATGGTCTCGTGGTATCTTTGAAATCAGTCAGCCTGAAATATCTTGCGTTCAGATTAAGGTGGCGGTGGTGTGATTTTCAAGGAAAAAATGTTCCTAGTTTTGCCAGTGTGCTAGTTAGTGATAGGAAGTGTGGTTTGATTTTACTCCAGAAAATGAGAAGCTTGGTTGTAGCAGGTGTGTGTGGGTGTGTTCTGGGCCGAGAGAGGAGGTGTGGCACTAGAGGGCAGGGTGCGGTGCCCCTCATTACTGGATAAGCTTTTGTTCCTAGCGTGATCTGCGCAGTGTGGTAAACACAGAGCAGCTGGTGCCCTTGTTCCCTTCTGAGCAACTCCCAAGTATGAGTTCACTTTAAACTTTGTGGAGGGTAACAGGTCCTGGGGGGAAAGTGTCTAATGGGCTGGAAGGCCCCAGAGTTAGCAGATGTAGAAGGTGATTAGCCACATCCTGGGGGACTGGGAAGGATGTGCATTCAGCTGGAGAAACTGAAGGCTCAGAGGATTTTATTACTTGAGCCAGAGGCAACTGATGCCAGGCAGAGTACATCTGCCCACTTGAGGTCAGTAACCAGGGATTAATGGCCTGGAGACTACAGGCTGATGTTTGCTTGTCTTTAAGCTCCCTGTTTGGACAAACAGGAGAATCACTCACTTTGTTTCATTACCTACCCTGGAGGGACTTCTGCTTACAGGCAGGTTTTGCCCTTGTGCTGGGGGGGTAAAGGACTAGAAGTCCTACTTTTTTGGCCCCTCCCTCCCAACAAAGGCCATTCTGGCTTGCAGATACTTGCGTAATATCCTTACAAAACTCTTCCATCTGGGGCTGGCTGGTTTTCTCTTGAAACCCACTTCTCCTTTGAGATCTTTTAACATATCGTTCTCAAAGGATAAGAGATTTCCCTTTCAGGCATTTCCATTTTTCTGAATGGTTTCCTAGCCTTACAGAGTCAGTTTGTGTTTCCAGAGAATCAGCCACAACTATAGGGCCCCTTTGGAAAGAAAAGTGGTGTTAGAGGTAGAAGGTTAAGATGTTTCTTTGCCTTTCCTGCCCTGTGGTATGTCTTCCAGCTGGAGCCCAAAGCGCCTGAACCCTCCCCATGACCTCACTTTGAGTCTTGGTCCCAGGAAAGGGGCGGGCAGCACTGTGTCCTTGATGGCAGAATGGTCAGGGAGGAGCCCGCCTGGAGGAGGAACTTCTTTTTGTGGCGAAATGCTGTTAAGGAAGCACTTGGTCTGGATTCCAAAGTCAGTTCTGTGCTTCACCCTTAATGTGCCCTTAGATAAGGCACCTGGCCTCAGAGCATCTAGTTTGCCTCACCTTCCACTGCAACAGAGCTTTGTGAATGCGCATTCAAGGGGCGTGGACCAGTGATTGTTCCTGCTTTTATAGAGAACATTGAGGCTTAGTTCCACCAGGGAGCTTCCGGACCCTTCAAGCCTGTGGCAAGTAGGATTTGCCTACTAAATCTCACTGTGATTTAGAAATTCCTGCTGAAGGACTTCCTGGCCTGAGTGCAGAGGTCAAAATGACTTGAGGCAAGTTCTTTGGCCATAGTGAGGTAATTTTTTCTTGGCTGTGAAGGAATAGTTGGGGTCCTCGGGGCAGAAACTCTGTTGGATCTATTTCACAAGCCAGCTCAGTTCAGCATAGATAGAATAATGGCCGTATCATTTTTGTGTTACTTGGTTTTCTCATGGTGAGGAGGATGCCTAATCCTTATCACTGTATCTCTTCTTTCTATCTTTGGTACCTCTTTGAAGACCTCAGGCATATGGAAAGGACACATGTTAGTCTGGATACTTCTACAACTCTGCACAACCCATTCTATTTCAAAAGGATTTGCCCTTTATAGCCTTAATTTGCCTTTCTTCCTGAACCTCTTTGCCCCACTAGTTTATCGGGATTAAATGAAATTATGAATTTCCTAGAACGGTGCATAACCCTTACTAGATCTATAGTCATTGAGTTCTATTTTGTTTTACTTCCTTCTAGCATGGGCCTCCTACATGACCAACTCTCCAACTCTCATTGTTATGATTGGCTTGCCAGCCCGGGGTAAAACCTACGTGTCCAAGAAACTAACACGCTACCTCAACTGGATTGGGGTCCCTACCAAAGGTGGGTGCAAGTCATTCCTTGAGAAGGGAATCATTAGTTCCTAAATCTTTGGGAGACTAATCCTCCCTAACATCAAGGTCAATAGAATGCTTCTGCCAAAAGTAGTGGTTGCTTCTTTATTTATTGGATGACTCCAGATTTATCTTTTCCTGGCCTTGGCAGACTGGGGTACTTTTAAGGGAATACCTTTGATAGGTGTATTAAGAATGAATGAGAACAGAACTTTGCATTTTTTAAACCCTTGCACATGCATCCTGTTATTTAAACCTAATAGCACCCTTATGAAATTGGAACTTGGACCACCTAAGACTTGTCCAGGTCTTGGGAGTCAAACCATGAGTCCAGCTCTTTTGACTCTTAAACTGGCATAATTCCCAACATGCTGTGGTGCATTTTGCATGTCCTTGGCTGCTCTGACATTGCATCAAGAGGTCACCCTTGGTTGGGGCTGTCATATTGTGCTGCTGAAGGATTTGGGTATCTTCTGCAGTGTTCAATCTTGGTGTATATCGGCGAGAAGCTGTCAAGTCCTATAAGTCTTATGATTTCTTTCGGCATGACAATGAAGAGGCCATGAAGATTCGCAGGTGAGTTTTTTAAGGCCTGATTCCAGGTCAACTCTTTCTGGACCATCATGATCCTGGATATGATAGGGTTTTGTTTTTTCTCAGTAAATAGCTCATGGGCATTTTAAGTAAAAGCTATCTGGTCAGCAGATCACATTGAGCTTAGATGGGTAGAAGACCAGGGCTCAGGGAGTTGCTTGTGTGATAATAGGGTAAGGCCGATGTATGCATTGGGCTAGGGATGGAGGTACAGAACAGTGTTAAAAGCTCAGTGGGAAAGTTGAAAGACTGAGGGAAACTAGGAAGGATATGAAGGTAACGAACTGGTTGACTCTGGCTATGTTTGAACTTAGCTCTTACTGCTGCTGTCCTTTGCTTCCATGGCAGACAGTGTGCTCTGGTAGCACTGGAAGATGTTAAGGCGTATCTCACGGAGGAGAGTGGGCAGATTGCGGTAAGCCTTACCTACTTCCGCTGCTTTTCAGTCTTCACCCCTCACCTCTCGAGTCTGCCTTGCCAGGGTTCCATTTCTCTGTCCCCATCCATTTATCCTGTGTGCTTTTTGTCCAGGTGTTTGATGCCACCAATACCACCCGAGAGAGGAGAGACATGATTTTGGACTTTGCCACGCAGAATTCCTTCAAGGTAGGCTGTAACTCCATACTGGAGGAAAAAGAATGAGTGGAGGTAGGGGTTAGGATGAGATTTGAATGTATTTGATTTGGGTGAGGACAGGATTGGATATCTGATGCTCTTCTCTTGGGGCATACCCTCAGTCCTTGAGTAGTTTCTTTCAGATCCTTTCTTAAACCTTCAGCCTTTATGTTTGAGGCCCAGGGTATGTGGTGAAAGCTACTTTTTAAATGAGGAGGCCTTGAAGGCCGTAGTCCTGAAAAATATCCTGGGAGACGTGGTGACTGGGTGGGGAGGGTGAGCATGTGCTCTTAATTAGCCACCTGATATTTATGACTTATTTATTGTGTCATCTCTCCATGGCCAGGTGTTTTTTGTGGAATCTGTCTGTGATGATCCTGATGTCATTGCTGCCAATATCCTGGTGGGTGACACTCTGACCTATCACTTCTCTTTTCTCTTTGGTACTGTGTCTATGTTTTGGATAATGGGAGACAAGTAGATACGATTAATACTACAGGGAGATCTTTTCTATTTGCCAGAGTGCCATTTTGTACTTCTAAACTCTTCCCTTGGGACACGAAACTGAGGCTTTGAGGAAAAAAACAATTAGCTGCTGAATCAAGGCTAAGGTGTAGGCTGTGAGATCCTGGCCTTGTCTCAATGCTGAGACCTGTATATTATCCCAGATCAGGTTCTTTTTCTGCCTGCTTATAGGAAGGCCATTCACCTGCCATTGTCCAATATTCTGGTCAGCATTCTGCACATTGAACTCATAACCTGCAGCTCGCAGCATCACAAGTCCCCATCTGATGGGTCTCACTGTGACAAACAGACAACTGCCTATGATCTCAAGGAGGTGCTCTCAGCCATGTAGGGGCTGGGGTCATCTGAGGAAGAGACACCCAGTCCCAACTGAGGCACTGGGCTGCATTCCCTGTTCTGAGTGGTGAGGGAAAATTTGGCCCATTCTTTTTTCCCAGGAAAGTACACAAAGAGATTCGGGCTCAGGAGCAGTGTCAGCTGTGTGACTTCTCCTGTCCGTCAGCCAAGGCAGGCACATGACTCTCCAGTTGTCTTTCCCTTCTGGGTTGCCAAGGTCACAGAAGAGGGGAGGGATGCTCATTGAGTGGGTAGCGCCAGTGTTCCAGCAAAAAGCTTTTTGAGATCCCTACTTTGGTTTTTAGTAGTGGCTATCTGTACGGGGCTGGTAAGGGAGCACCTCTGACTTTTTATAATGTCTGTGGCTTTAGGAGGTAAAGGTGTCGAGCCCTGACTACCCTGAAAGGAACAGGGAGAATGTCATGGAAGATTTCCTGAAAAGAATCGAGTGCTACAAAGTCACCTACCGACCTCTCGACCCTGACAACTATGACAAGTAAGGTTTAAGGCCATGGTAGGAAGGGGCTGAGGCAGGAGTCTCATCTGGGGCAAGAGCCTGCTCTGTCGCTTATGTGCTGTGGTAATCTAGATCTGTGCTGTATGTTATTCCAAGGAGACAAGGTACGGCTCTGTGGCATTTATGTGCATTGCATCTTACACTTAGACACTGAAATGTTTTTATCATCAGTTTTCCTCTCTATCCTTTAGAATGAAATTTTTCTATCTCAGTATTTGGAACTGGGTAGTTCTGTAAGATATTTGGCCATATCTCTGGTGTCTGCCTACTAGATGCCAGTAATGCCTCCAAGTTGTGAGGACATTACCAAATAACCCACCCAAGGGAGGGAGGCAGAATCAACCCCAGATAAAAACCATTGCACCAGATCAGTAGTTCTGAACAGGGTGTTAGAGGATGCTCTTAGATGTCATCAGTTTTGGGTCAATTTTTGAAGTTTTATATATACAGCTATATTATGTGTGTGTGTGTGTGTGTGTGTGTGTGTGTGTGTATAAATATGTATGTTATACATATAGCTATACATATGCTATGTCACATATAGCTCATTATATATAAATAGTAAGTACTGAATTTCATATTATATATATTTTTGTTTGTTTGTCTTTTTGAGACAGGGTCTCACTATGTAGTTCAGGCTGGCCTTGAGCTCACTTTGTAGCCCAAGCTGATCTCAAACTTGGCAACGATCATCTCGAATGCTGGGATTACAAAAGTGTGCCACCACACCTGGCTATATATATTTTTCACATACAAAGCCCTCAAGAACTCGGAGAGAAATATGTGATTGTTGCTATCATTAATCTGACAGTGTCTATTGGTAGTGTATAGAATACAGTGTGCCATGTGCTATCCCGTATAGATTAAATTGCCATGTGTGATGTATAAGAACTGTAGTGAGATGTCAAGTTCATGAAAGAGTGTGCACTGTGGGACCTCGTCCTTTGAAAGAGCAGGGCTTCAAGGTAATTAACAGCTCTATTCAAACACAAATACACTGGGCACCAAAGTGAGACCAGTGTATGCAGCAAACTGTTAGATTGTGGAAGTGGCCTGTTCATTGTCTTGAACCCTCCATTTTCTTCCAATGAGTTGTCCAGAGTTCTGGTATTTGGAGGTGTTCATGTAATAACTTCCCTAGAAGCGGTATAACAGGATATTCTTTAGGGAGCCCTAAGTCCTACATGAAAAGCATTCTAGAGTATCAGTGTATAGGAGGACAGTACGTGTGTTTATAGACTTTTACTCTGGTAGTGGGGTGATGTGTGACTTGTATCATTCGGTCTTTTTTTCTGAAATGTTCTTGGGAATAAGTTGTTACTTTCATACTGAGGAAAATCCTGTAAAGGCCACAAAGCAGAGTGCTTTTAAGAGGCCTGAGTAGGTAGATGTAGGGAGCCGGTTGCACAGGGCCTGAGGTTCTGCTGCCCTCTCTCTCTCCTCATTGCTGGTTGATGCCATATTCTGCCCAGGTCTTGACCACCTCAGAGGGGACCTATGCTTCACATCAGATTGTGGGCTTGGGAAAAACTTGGCATCATCTAATCGAGGTGGACTGATGGGGGCCTGCTTAGCATATTTTCTACATTGCATGGCACTGCAGGCACTGAAGAAATGGCGTGGAGCGACTAGAAGTTCAGGAAATAGTGCTTCATCTTGCTCTGAGGAATAATCCTGCCATTTGGTTCTGTAAATATTGGGTATGACAAGGTAGAAGATGGAGAGTTGCTGTGGGCCTTAAGTCACTATGGAAACCCTTTCCCCTTACTCTTAGTCTCAAATAGTCTCAAATTCTCTTAACCTGGAATTTTTTTTCCTATCCTGTTCTAGGGATCTTTCTTTCATCAAAGTAATAAATGTGGGCCAGCGATTTTTAGTTAACAGAGTCCAGGACTACATCCAGAGCAAGATAGTCTACTACCTCATGAACATCCACGTCCACCCTCGCACCATTTACCTTTGCCGGCACGGAGAGAGCGAGTTCAATCTTTTGGGGAAGATAGGCGGTGATTCTGGACTCTCCTTGCGTGGAAAGCAGGTGAGTCCGTTGGCCAGCAGGCTGGCTCTCCTAGGCTTAGAAGTAGAAGGGCATGGTGGAGGTCATCTATTTTATCCCCTTCTTCTTAAATCCCACTGGGGCTTAGGCTGTGGTTTCAGACAGGCAACTGCTAAATGTTTTCTTGCTCAGCGCTTCTCGCTGATTTATAATGTGGATACTGTGGATATGTTTTTGCTGTGATCATCCAGCCATCACATATTGGACACATCTTGTGTTCCTAACACTGTACAAGGTGCTCCAGTTCCTGTTCACTTCCCTTTGTCTTCATCATGGCTGAACAGATTACCCACTGTAGGCTAAGTTCGCAGTGTGTGCATGACCTTTCTTTAGTTTTTATTTTCAAACCCCAGTTCGCTCAGGCTCTAAAGAAGTTTCTGGAGGAACAGGAGATAGCAGACCTCAAGGTCTGGACAAGCCAGTTGAAGAGGACCATCCAGACTGCTGAGTGTCTTGGTGTGACCTACGAGCAGTGGAAGATTCTGAATGAAATCGACGCTGTGAGTAGGAGTCTTGGATGCAGGCAGAAACTCCCAGAAGTCATGAGTTGGACAGTTTTATCCAGAAAACACCAGAACTACCTGGGAGGAAGCCAAACCTGTGCTCATTTTGGGAGTTGAGGGAAGAAGTAGGGACAGTTGTACCTACAGCCTAGACTTCCTGCCTATGGCAGTCATGAGACCCAAATCCATTTCTGACCCAGCCACTTTGGGACATGGGGAGAATGGGCCTAACAAGGGCTTACGTTGTTCTTTTTGTATATTTTCCTTATGGGAAAAATTACTAACTACTCAGTTCTTTACTTTCTACTTAGATCATTTGACGAGCTACTCTGGAAAAGTCCTTCCCTAAATTTTCCTCTCTATCCTGAGAACAAAGCAGACATTTCTCTTTCATTCCTCGTTCTCTACCCCTTTCTTGCTCCTGAAAGGTCTCCCCTTTCTTCAGTTTCCCTTGTCACTGATTCCTGCTTCTCTTATACTGTTGATTCTGCTGGACCTTTAAGTTCTTCACAGTGGTAGGAGAAAGTGTCAGCTTCAGCTAGAAAAGCTGCCTCCTCTCTCCAGTGGCTGTCACCCAGGGACACCCTGTGGCACCCTAGTCATGGTCATTCACAGTCTGTGAAGGGACCCAGCATAGGCTCCCGCAGGTAGTAAGACATTAGTGTTATTCATCTTCATTTGGGGAGGGTCACGTCTACTGCCTGAAGCCAGTGTAACTTCTTGCAGGGTGTGTGTGAGGAGATGACATACGCAGAGATCGAAAAGCAGTACCCAGAAGAGTTCGCACTTCGAGATCAAGACAAGTATCTGTATCGTTATCCTGGTGGGGAGGTGAGCCCCCTTCCTGTGAATGACTGCCCACTTCTTTTCTGGGATGGGGGCTCCCTTTCATGTGATAGAGTGATGTGATTCTGGAAGGTGCGTCTAGACATCATTGCTCTTTGTACCTTTGCCTCATCCTGTGTTCACTTCAGCTCAGGTGCTTAGGCCTTATTTATTCATGAAGCTCTCTCAGGAAAAGGGAGACAGATGCCCCATGTGTTGGGAATGTCAGATCAGAGTGATCTGTTTTGCTTCTTTTTCCCAGTCAGCTTCCTCAGTCCCATCCCCACCCGAGCAGGTATTGCAGGTTTACCACTGCTGCTCTAGGATGTTCAAGGCAAAAGTAAATAAAACAGGGTGGCAGAGGTCCAGGGAGTTTTAGACACCTATTGTCGCCTTGTACTCTATTAAACTGTCAGAAAAAAAAACTGCCAGCTCCCCATGAAAATAGTATAAGTTGGATTCAAACTTCCTTTTTTTGACGTGTGGCTTTCTTGATCTTGAAAGCTGCGTATTCTTAGGATACCACAGTTGGGGCAGCTGGTAGGTGACACGGAGTTGCTGTACCTCCAGGAGGAAAGCCAGCAGGGGAAGAAGTGGTGGCCTCTGACTCTGGGACTCAGCAACCCGCTTGGCTGCCAGCCTGTGCCTGGCCCCCTACTAGGCTGCCCCACTTCCCCCCACAGTCGTACCAGGACCTGGTGCAGCGGCTGGAACCTGTCATCATGGAGCTGGAGCGGCAGGGCAATGTCCTCGTCATCTCCCACCAAGCTGTCATGCGCTGCCTTCTGGCCTACTTCTTGGATAAGGGTGCAGGTACTGGTTGTGGAGAGGGCTGGGGGACACGTGCATGGCAGAGGACTGGACTTGTGGCACCATGGAGAGGTGGACGTCCACCTCTTCTGCCCAAGTTAGCAGCAGGCATGGAGGGGCAACTATGTGCTGAATGAACCGTGCTGCTCCAAGGGCCCTGGAGGAGGGGCTGCTCGATCCTGCTGGGTAGAGAACCAGTGTTAGCTGACGCTCCTGATAGCATCAGCAATAAGTGAGTGAAGAGTTCCAGCTTGTCACACTGGCTACTCAGAGAGTAGCTTCATGGAATCCTCTTCCTCCTTTGCTTGGGGGTGAGGCAGCTGTTTCCCAGTGAAAGCAGTAAGGAAGTGTATTGCCTTTTCCTTTCCTTCCCTTTCCCAGCTATCAGAAGCCCGCAGCATCACTGATCTTTGGTTCCTTGGGTGGGCTCCAGTCTTCCTCCCACAAGGCCTTGGCTATAGCACTGATTCCTAGTTTACCTTTGAGGAAGGATCTATAATGGCTTTACTTCCTTCCTTCCCATTTAGTGGCTTGATAATTGTCTGGGGCTCAGGGGAGGAGCTGGACAACTCTGCATGGCAGTTAGGGTAAAGAAACTGCTTGGAAAAACCTTAGACTTTCTTCTGTCATATTGATTGTGTTCATAATCCCAAGTCACTGCCCTTACCTGGTCCCTGTCTTTCAGATGAACTACCGTACTTGAGATGCCCTCTCCATACCATCTTCAAACTCACTCCCGTGGCCTATGGTAACTATGTACTCAGGGGCTGCCAGAATGTAGGGACAGAGGAAGGTCAGAATGTGTGAGTTTTCTTGGAGCTTGGCTTCATAATCAAGAAACTAGAGATTTGCCATTAGTGCCATTACACTTTGGAAGAGATATAATTATATGTGTGCCTATTTGGGAGTGCATACACAACTTGACGGTAGGCTTCCCCTGCTGAAACTGATGGATTGTTTTCTGTGAGCTTTTTTCTGAAGGCTTCTCTTCTGTTTTCTCAGGGTGCAAAGTGGAAACAATTAAACTCAGTGTGGAAGCTGTGAACACTCACCGTGACAAACCAACTGTAAGTGTCTGCCCACGGACCACAATGGCAGCTGCGTGCCGCCTTGAGTCTGTGAGGTCTCTGGCCTCAGGAGACCTGGGGTTTCTTTTATGTACACGAGGAAAACAGATCCAGAACTCATGACCTTGGTAGTCTGCTTTTTCTGAAAGGCAAAGTGGGAGAATTATTAATTTTTTAAGTTAGTGTCTCTTTTATGAACTTTAACCTTAAGAGCTGGTTCCAGGAAATTCAGTTAAATGTGGGCAGTGTTAGGCAGAAGTGAAAGGCAAATCCCTTCCCACCCAGAGGAGCCTACTGGGGTGGGTGGTTCCTTGGTCTCTCCCTGGTAATCTGTGTGGTCCTCCTAAGTGAAGTTCTTCCTTGTTGGGCCCCATTTCTCTCTGGAATGTTATGAGCGAGCTTCGGGCATGGCTTTCATGTGTGTGGTGTCCCTCCATTTCCAATCAGAACAACTTCCCCAAGAATCAAACCCCTGTAAGGATGAGAAGGAACAGCTTTACACCTCTGTCCAGTTCGAATACAGTAAGGCGTCCAAGAAATTACAGTGTTGGGAGCCGGCCCCTCAAGCCCCTCAGCCCTCTCCGTGCCCTGGACATGCAAGATGGGGCCGACCAGCCGAAGACCCAAGTCAGCATCCCGGTGGTGTAACCGTGTGTGTCCCTCCAGCCCTGGCCTCCTGTCTTTGCTACTAATCACCAAGGAGTCACTTAACTTCACCATACCCCTACCCTCAACAACTCACTATTAACCTTACCACAGAGTTTGAGGTGCTGTGTGTATAGACCAACTAGGTATTCTCCAGTTTGAAACCTTTCTTCACCCAAAAGCAACGGGGCCAATGGAGTCTTCTAGGACAGATACCCATTGGAGCAGGCTGGAGGAGGAGGGAAAGGATATGTGCTCCCCTTATGCTTGGTTCTTCTCTTTTCCCTGGTATCTGAACTCATTAATACATGGCTTATGGTGATGTGTGCTGGGGACGCAAAGGCCCATGTCTTTCACCTTTGTCTCTTTAATGTGTGTTTTACTCACTTGGCTTTCTCCCTCTTCCATCTTGCCTTTACTTTGTCCTCTGGAACACTCAGCATTGTAGTATCTAAGAAGAAAGGGGGGTTCGTGGGGAGAAGTCCAGGCCCCACTGATGCTTACTTCAGTGGGCCTGTGTAGCTCTAGACTGGGGGAGGGTTTTCTTCTTTCCTATCCCCTCTCCTCACCAGCCAGGTCCTGCAAGGGTCAGCCCAGGCTTCAGAACATCCACAGAATGCTCTGGAGCTTGCAAGTGGACCAAGGGTGAGAGTTGGTGCCTCTTTTCATGAGAAGCAGTGTCAAGTTTTTGATACTTTGGGAGCTTCTGTCTCTGAGGGTGTGGGCAATGTCTTGGTTTGTGTTTTGAACTTGAAGAGCCATGCATGCAGTACCCTTTGGCTGGCAGTGAAGTAGGTGGTTCTTAGTTTTTGCAGGTTCTCTGTTCAGTATCAGATCTTTTACCCACAGCTTGGTCCTCTGCCAGCCACTGTAAGTTTCCTGCCAAAGCCCGTGACCTCAGGGGCTGTTTAGAAGGATGGAATTAGATTTAGTCGTCACCACTGATACCTGCATACTTGGAGGCAGAAGGCAGAGCAAAGTTCACTGAATCTGCTCACTATTTTCCAGTATACTCTCCGAAAGTTAACTTTTTAAAACACGAGCAAGTGGTTTTTCTCCAAATATGGCAAACCTTTGATGAATTTCATCTCTATTGAGCTGTTCTTTGTGAATAAGGAGAAACAGTCTCATCATAACGGTCTGAGGAGTACCATGGTGTCTTGTCTTAATGTTCTCTATTCACTTGTCATCTCATTTCTTTGTAGGTTCAAAAAAGGACTTGTGTACAAAAGGACTTTTTAGTCCGTTGGTGGCCCATGATGGCTTTCCCTTTCTCTCAATTTTATATACAAAGTTTTTAATGCATATATAGAGTTCTCGTGAGATTTTTTAGATGAGATACAGGAGTTCCTACCCATCAGCCAGGCTTTTGGAGGCAACTAGTGAGAGCAATTAGCTGTTTTCCAAGGGTCTTTTGTTTTGCCATAGAAAACCTTTCATCATGGTTCTCAGGAGCATTCCTGAGAATCTCCTCAGATCTACTGAAGCATACAGGTAGTGTGTCCAGGTCTATCTGAGTCATGCTGAATACTGACTCCAAACCTCTGGCTCTGCGTATGGGCATGTGTGTGCTTAAATAGCTTCCCTCCTGATTCTGATTCATACCCCAGGTGAAGAACTCCACTCTAGGAAATGGGGCAGAAAAATGCCAGGACAGTGGTTTCTTGGACAAAGCACGGCCCTTGGGGTTCTGACTTCTCAGTGTTGAACAGTTCTCTGGAGTTAGATGTTGGAGTGTATTAGAATACTAAAGGAGGTGACCGCATCAAGGGCAGGCTGCTGTGTTTGAAAGGCTGATTCTCAGCTGTGATCTCATTGTTTCCCCTTCCCACTGTGGGTGGTGTGGAACAAGTCACTAAATTCCGTGTCATTGGGTAAAAACTGGTTACTTTAAGGATCCTATAGAGAGGTACTGAGTTAGAAGCTATAGGATGAAAAGAGACAAATCAAGGCATATCGTGTACATGTACAAATTCTCTATGATGAATGTGACCACTGTATATCCCTAAACTGTACCAATAAACTTAATTAAATTTTAAAAACCTGTAAGATGATGAAGGTGTCATCGTAAGCAAATGATCTTGGCCTTGTGCTTGCCTAGATTCTTTTCAAAATTGTGTCCAAGACTCAGAGTAAACTGTGTTCCTGTTGAACTCTTGCACAACGTCCTTAGCAGTGTGTGTGTGTGTGTGTTTGTGTAACTTTGGGCCGGATGGAGAAGGACATGTAGAAGTAGAAGAAAAGGTCCTTGCCTAAAAAGGTTATTTTAAGAGACAGAGCATGCAATTTACTCAGACATTTAAAAAAGACCAATGTCCAAGTCTGGAAGTGCTGGTGCTGCTGTGGAGTACAGATTCCATCCCCAGAGTGTTCTCTTGTCCTCTGGCTATGAGACCAAAAGGGTTGGGGGGGGGTGTCCCTCCCCCTATGAGAACAAGATGTGGCCCGGGGCGGGGGGGGGGCACAGGAGGCGCTTTCACAAGGTCGCCTGGTGTAGCTTCATGGGGATGTTAGCAACTCTAACCCAAACGCACATTCAGTCTTCTGGTGTGAGGTGAGAGAATTTCATAGCTAACGAGTGAGAAAGAGAATTCTGATCCAGAGATGGGGCTTTAGGCCCCACCTCCTCTTAACAAGAAGGGACTTCGACCAAGCAGCATTGAGTTCGCCTGTTCCAAATGCTACCACTAGAGGCAGGTCACCTGGTGTTCACTCTGGCCCTGCTGGCTATTTTTCCTCTTTTCCCCTACGCTCATTTACTTCCTTCAGAAGAGGAGCTGGGGTAATCTTATCTTCTGGACAGGAAAAATTGGAAATTGAAAACAGCAAGACTTTCAGTGTCAGTTTCTAGAGCAAGATCCCTTCAGAGAAGATTAGTCGGGAGAAGTGAGGATAACGTAGAGTGTAATAGAGTTCATTGCAGAAGTTCTGCTTCCTGTCTTTTACTTTTGTCCTTGTCTCCCCTTGTTACTTGAATGTATTTTGGTGGTAGACACACATTACTCTGCTTGTGTCTGTCTCACAAACCCTAAAAGAAAGGCTGGCCTCCAGAGGACCCTTTGCAGAAGCTTTTAAGTTTTGTTATGGGGGAAATGGTTGAAGACTACTATTTAAATGGGGAAAAGAAAATCATAGTATATTCTGTTTTCTTTTTTCTTGCCTTGAAAGTGAATGCAAAAGCCCGAGACAGATTTGAAAGAGGAATGTAAAATTTACGAGAGAATCCTCTTCTATTTTTATCTCTAATTTTCAAATTCAGATTTAGCTCTTATTATTGCCATTCTTTTTTATTTTGCTAAAGGAATATTTTTACATTAAGTTGAAAAATAGAATAAGAAAATCATGTAGAAACATCTTTTGTGCTGTGGACGTACCCTATATCATTGTCTCTAGTTTCTGTTTTCCAAGATGTTAAGAGTTGGGGGTGCAATTTATTTGTACTCTTGGGCCGAATGGTTGAATATTTTGGCAGGGATCTGGGTAATTCCCATTGTAATTCACTTTTGATTTTCAGATTGTGGCTTTTTTTTTTTTTCTTTTTAAGGCAGGGTCTCGCTATGCAGTTCAGCCTGGCTTTGAGCTCACTTTGTAGCCCAGGCTGGTCTCATTTGGAACCATCCTCTTGTCTTAGTCTCCTGAACACTGGGATTACAGATGTATACCACCATGCCCAGCTTGTTTCTTTTGTTTTGTTTTTAACTTTGGCATTTGAAGAAACAAGCACTTCCTTTTTAGCCATAAGTTCATCTGGGGATCCAAGATCTGAGTTCAGAGAATCTCAGTAGTGGTGCTTGGGGTGACCTGTAATCCAGGGACGCATGCCCATTGTGATGGCAGCTGTAGCTGGGTGAGGTGACCTGAGGTACATTCCACTGTCATGGCCAAGCCCGGAAGCGTGTTGTGTTGTATATCTTTTGAGTCTTGTATGTGTTTTAAAATGTTTTTATTTTTTAAAATCTATAATTGAGTCAGTTTGCAACATTCTGTATGTTTGACTCTCCCTAGAAGTGACAGACATTGAAGTGTGTCCAGGAATTGAATTTAGACTTGTAGTGTCCAGAGGACACTCTCTCGAGGGGTCAGTAAACCACAGTCTGACATTTTCTTATTATCTTGAGTGGTAGTATATACACATTATAGTCGTTCTCTGTCTGTCTGATCTGTCCTGCCATGAAAAGATCTAAACACTCCACCTTTCTTCTTTATGGGGAAGCTCTGTGTATTGTGATTTTTCTTGTAAAATAGCAGCCAAATCCTTATATCTCTGTAAAAGATGCCAGTTGTACCTCACTTGTGTGATGTCATGTAAACTCCGCTAAGGGAATGCCAGTTTAGAGCCTGAAGTTGTGCCATCTCTCCTTGAAGTCATCTTACCCAGCCCCCTGGTTCAGGACAGGGCTTCCCTGTCACTATCCATTCCCGAACCTTCTGTGTCCTGTGCTTACCCTGTTATGGAATGTAGCATTCCATCGGAGGGTGCTGCTGTTTTCAGTCTGCCATGTATGTGGCTTTTATTCCTAATCTAAGAAGCAAAAATGCAAAGGAAATCTTACATTCAAAAACTGATGTTAGGAGTTGGCAAAAGTATTCTTTCCAGTAAACCTTCCACTGGACATCTGTGACCAGTATTTCCCTGCTTACAGGTTTTGTATGTGAATCACTTGTATACATTTTTAAAAAAATGTTCAAGTAACAAAATCAACTTATTGTGATACGGTTTTCTATGACAGAAGCACAGACTGATCACAAACTGCCCTCTGGGAGGGACTGGAGTTGGGGGCCTCACTGGTTTGAATGGAAATGGCTGGCTTGGGAACAGAACTCTACTGCAGATTTTCTAGGCATGGTTCTGTTGAAAGTAGCATAAATTTTCAGCAGAATTCAGATTTCATCAGTGACACAACAAAATATTTCACTCAGATCCACTTACAGTGTGTATAACTGTATTTGAAATGTGTTCGGGTGTGTGTATGTGTAGAATGGGCAAATAAAATTATTGAGTAACTTGAACCTACCAGAAGGCTTCTGGATTTTTTGTTTTGTAATTTGAGTTGTTTCCCACCTTCTCCCTGCCTCTAAACTTTCCTCTCTCTATTTATTTGACAAGTGACTGAGACTTGGGCAGGTAACACATTCTCAGTGTGAGCAGAGTCCATGGTGTAGGCATGGCTCTCTTCCCCCACCTTCTGGGCCAGACTGGAAGGACACTGTGGGGAATGTGAATTTTATTAGTCACACTGTTGGGGCCCATGCAAGAATTAAGAAAAAATTACACTTGACTACATGGTACCATGATTCCCATTAGCTATGTATGAGTCATTATGAGGAAAAACTTAGGAGATCTTTGAGAATTTAGTGGGCTAGCCAAATACACTGCCTGTTTCTAGAGATATCATAGCCAGTGCCACAAAATGATACTTAACCTCTGAAACAGGATATACACATGGGATTTTCTCATCTTTCTCATGGCTTATTCCTTGTTACCCTAACAAGGACCAGGAACTCATTAGAAATGCAGGAGCTCAGGCCTTGTCCCAGAACAACTGAATCAGATCAGATGGAGCAGTTGAGAAACACTGTGCTAGGGTGAAGAATTTCCCACAAGTAAAACATGACATCCTAGCTGATTGGTAAGAAGTTGATTTCCTCTCATGCCTGATTTCAGAAAGGACTGGGGTTGCGACAGCATCAGTAGGCAGCCTCCTCAGCTCCCAGGTGGCCCCTGGCTGCAGTGTCACTTTCTTGGCATGGTCCTCTGGCCAATGTTGCCTGCATCCTCTTCTTACTACAGCCCTGCTGACCACGTCCACTTCATATCTTGAGTCTGTAGCTTATGTATGGTTCTGGATTGAAAGAAATGGCTGGCCCCCCTATAGTCACACGTTCGGCTTCTCGGGGAGAGAAGTGCAGGGCTGTGCCATTAGAGTTTGCCTGGCTTCCCAGAGTCGAGGTGTACGTGCAGCCACAGATTCACTCCATGCATGTGTGTGGCCGTGGGGGTAAGTGGACTGGCAAGTAGTGGGGGCATTGGGAGGGATTCTGCTCTGCTTTCCTTTGTGTGTCTCTCGCTTGTGGTATAATAGCTTTGCCTCTCTCCTCTTTGACTTCTAGGCAGTGGATAATGTGCTGGCTGGGCATAGGCACCCTTCCATGGCGTCCCTCACATTGCACTCCTGATGATGTGGAGGCTGAGCCAGATGTCTCCGAGGGACAGTATCTGTCGCAAAGCCTGGGATGTCGGCTTCACTGAGCCTAGATCAGAAAGTTAAGCAGGGACTGCATGTTTGGGGTTGCCATAATGGGGCCTGGAAAAAAAAATCACTATATTTCTTCCCCTCATGGTAATGGGCATATCAGTCAGCATCTTGAATCGGTTAGCTTTTATCCTCTCTTCACTGAGTTTGGCCTAGTTTTGCAAATACCATTCTGTGCAGGTGTTTAACATCCTACCTGTGACTGCATCCCTGTCTGGCTATTCTTTGCCTAAAGTGTACACACACCTCTTCGAATTTGGTTTCCAAGTGAGAAAGATGGATTCCAGGAAACTTTCTCCATGCAATAGAGCTTGTCTTTGCATCCACTGCAGGCGAGCAGGCTGGAGTCCAAGATGTGTGCTTATCTTTTGCCTCATTGGGAGCAAGAGAATCATTGCCAGGGAATGGAGGCATCTGCGACACTCAGTCCCTGGAACCTCTTTCTGTAATGATGGATTGGTAGTGTCAGCAGCACCCTTTTTGTTTGGGAAAGTTTTTCTTAGTCCAGACCCTGCAGGACAGGATCTGACTGCTACTCCCCAGAAGGATACCCAACTGTAAGCTCTCTTTTTTAGCTACTGTGTTTTCTGCCTCCCCTAGTTAAAGAGGACTGCTGCAGTGGTCCCAGAGGGTGGGACTTAGGGCTGAGGAGAAAAGTTGCCTTCCATTTGCACTTCACGAAGAAGTAAGGACCGCTCCTTAGGCATGGTTATAGGGAGTCTTTTTGGCTTCAAGACAGAGAAGCTGTGTCCTTCAGTGGAGTCTGCCACAGAGATGTGTTTAAGAAATCTGTGGCTGTATATGAAAGCAGTGGTTTAGCAGTGCCCACTTCTGAGCTCCTTGTCACTGCTGCGATCGCTGGTCTCCTGTCACACTGTGGGGGAGCAGGGAGAAGCAGGGTCTCCGTGCAGTCAGCTTCCCTGCACATGAGCCCCGATCGCTGCTCCTCAGCATGGTGGTTGTCTGATGGACCAACCATTCTCTGCAAGTGTGATTTGAACCCTGATACTCCTGAGGAAGAACACAGAAACCCCAAAGGATATCACATCTTAGAAACAAAATCTATTTTTTTAAAGAAAGTACATTTTTAGCTTTAATTTTTTTTCTTTTAACTCAGATGTCCACTTGCTGGGCAAAAGCCTGAGCAGCAAGAAAATAGTGAAATGTAGCTTTTTGTAAATGGTTCTTTCCTACGTGGATGGTGCAGGAGACTTCCCTGAGATGCAACTCCCTGGGCTGCAGGCGGCTCAACATCAGCAACTCAGGGCCGCTTTTATACGCACAAAGCTGCCTTCAGAAAGCTCTTCCACTGCACGGTAGTGGGTGATTTCTGTCCGGCTGCTTGGAGCAAGCTGTACTGTAATGATTGGTTCTTGTGGTGCAGATTTCCTTCTGCATCTGTTCTGTCTTCTGATGATCAGACAATGTTTTTATTTATTCTCTCCATGTAAGGCATTTTGAAGTGCTTATATGAAAAACTCCTCATATGAGCATTTGCATGTATTTAATCAGAATGTAATATAATTTATGTTACTAGTTTTTTGGTAGAAATTTAGGTGGCTTGAATATTTGCTTGTTGTCTATACTGTTACCTTAAGTTTCAAGGATATGGCTATGTTTTCTGTAAAAAGATAATTATGTTAGGACAGTGTGGACATTTTGAATACTTTCTCATTTATTTTTTATTACAAACCAAGAGATGTATTTCTCTGGAGAAAAGTTCATCTCCTGGATAAATAAAACCATAGTAAAATATGTGAGTCACATGTATTGCTTTTGTAGTAAAATACAATAAAAGTTATTTTCAATTAAAGATGTAGTTTTTAAAATCACACACAAAAGATAACAGTTGGTACATTATGCATATGCACAGTCTTAACATTGCCCTGAGTGTGTCTGAAACTAACTTGAAAAATGATTCTCCCCAAGTCTGATGATGCACACCTGCAATCCCAGCATGGGAGGCTGAGGCAAAAGAGTCACCATAAATTCAAGGCCAGTCTGGGCTACTTAATGAGGTTAAGGCCAGCCTGGATTACATGGCAAGACCCTGTCTCAAAAAAAAGTTTCTCATTATTAGGTAATATATATCACTTGGTGCTGCTGTCTTAACCAGATTCCCTCAGGGTTTAGAGTGGTATCAGTGGTAATGTTACCGTCACACATTATTGCTGTTCTAAACTCTCACTGTATTAGTTAACAGATATTTAATGACTGTTGATTGTCTAGCAATGCCTGAAACAATGTCCCTGTTTTTTAAAGTTTATTATTGGAAAGGAAGTGGTCAACAGCAAGTGAATATCCCATGAATGACCTGGACAACAACCATTATTAGATAAAGTTACATAACTGTGTATGATAAAGAAATTTGGCGATTCCTCCATGGTGTCAGCAACAACAGAGATAAAATATACCAGCAAAACATTTCCAATTGATTTTATATTCAAGGTTTGTTTTTGGCAGAATAAAAATGATTTTTAAATTCTTCAAATTTGAAACAAGCTGGTGGTAGTAAGTATTGAATACATTGTACCTTAATAGTATAGCTGGAAGAATACAATGAGAGTATATCAAGGGTGTAATTTCTAGTCACTTTTGCAAGTATCACCTCTTTCAGCCTTGGAGCCATCATTCATAAAAGGTTCAGAGCATCTGGAGTCTGTCTCTTGGTTTTACAGGTAGGTAATGAACGCCCTTACTGAAGGACATCACTTAGCACTGTTGGAATTACTGTTAAAGCCAATGCCTAGAACAAGGCCAATGGTAAGAATTGTAACAGTGAAAAGCCAAGAAATGCAGACCATGCTATTTTGAAATGCAGCCAATAAAGTAGCACAGTTAGAAAATGACTATTCAGAGGGTGCACTGGCATTGTGCAATGGCGATATATTGTCTCTATCTTGTACCTTTAATTATTACACTGTCTTAACGCTCCTCAGGGTTTTCACCTGGGAGTCACTGTGAAGAGGGTAAACTTTAGACTTCACTGCCTTGCCCTGTTGGATCTCCCCCTTTGGTCCCTGCCCCGGTGGCAGTCTGGCAATAACCTATCATCAAGCATTATGGTTTTCGGAAATACTATGCATCATCATGTGTGCATTCATTCTCTTGAACTCATTTAAGAGTTTGACATGCTAAGCTCTCCAAGAAAAAGTCACACATAAGTTTTGTAGCTAGTTTAGGAGAATCACAACCGGAAGTCCATGCCTAGACCTCAAGGTAGGAAACCAAGAGTTAGGTAATAATCCTCATATCTCATATCCCCTTCTCTGTTGCTTCCCTTTGACATGTTAAAGATGTATACAATCAAGCGATACATTTATCTGTAATTCTAAAACCCAAAATGCTCTGACAATGAAGTTTTCTTTTTACTCAGTTGATAGTGAAACCTGCCTTGAACTATGTGAAGATATTTATAATCTATATATTTTGATTAGCATAAATACTTTTATCTTTCATGGAGAAATACTAGTAAGACAATATCATAGACAACGTTGAATCCCTCAAGTCCTGATATCTGAAGTAGGCCATTGAGTGAGTGGTTTGTAGTCATTCCCTATAATACATGCTCTATTTTATGTCATACTTATGTGGGATTAAACTAGATTTTCTTTCCTGTTTTAATTCTTTTAATTTGTACAAACATAGATATAAGATACTGAAGAACAGTTGTTCCTCAAGAGGTAGAACTTATGCTAAGAAAAATTCAGAATTTGGGATTAAAAAGAGATCATTGGAATAGATTTTCAGTGAATGGGCATTTTTTTTATCAGACTGAGGATTATTAATTGCATGGGGATATGTAACTTTGATTAACATTCAATTCTATGCACTTGGTTCTTTTTTATTTTATTTTTAAAAAATGATTAAGACAAAAGAGGACATAAAACAGGTCAGAACAGAACAGTTTAAGCAACATAGTGTTTCACCACAAGACAATCCAACATAACAGTAGCTACCATAGTGTCTCTTTTCTTGAAATATTTTCGTATACCTTAATATACTATAGTATCAAACATAAAAAACAATGTAAAACCATTCAAGAGAATGAAAGTATTACAGGTTATTCAGAATCAACTAACAGAAAACAAAGGTTACTATATTATCTCCTTGTCTATAAAATATTTTGTTTATACTATCACATATAATAAAATCCAATAAGATATAACATGATAAAGCCAGTGGAGACAGAAGAACCAAAGCTTGGTGGACTTCAAAACAAGATGATATTAAATCATCACTAGCTATTATAATGTCTTGTTTTCTTCAAAATAGCTGTTCATACCATTACAGACAATAAAATCAAACAACCCAGAATAAAATTCACTTGGTTCCTGGATAGCTTTCCAAGAATAGAGCTTGATTTGTAGCAAATGATTGAAAATGCAATTTTTTAAAGTCGGAGAACAATGTAAATTATTATTATCACAGCAAGCAAGTGATTTTTTTTCCATTTTGTTTCAATTTTTTCCTTTTACTCTTCACCTATTAAGACGGTACACAAACTTTCAGATCTATGTGTTCTTTTGAGTTACTCTTCCCATTCACATGTATTCGAGCTACATGTGTAAATGAAATGATTTTTCTCTCATAAAAGCCAATTCCAAATAGTGATGTTCTGTAGGATATTGACTAATTTTGCATTTTTACAAAATCAGAAGGCTTTTGATGGACTGACAATATACATCACTATTTTTCAAACTCTGAACCACTTTGTCTTGATGGTTCCTCATTAATAAGATCTCTGACATATTCTTTCTATGTTTATGTAAGTCATGTTTTGAAGTTTGAAAACTATGAAAGGTGTTTATAGTAGTTGACACATTAGTTGAAAAGATGTGAAAAAATCAATATGCAATAAATAATAATATGTACTTCAGATACCTTCATGGGACTTCTGGATGCCTTCATTCATTTCTGTATTTCTTTGATTCATTTAGCAGACGGCTCCACAGTATAAAGCACACAGGAAGGAATAATTTAAAAAATGAGGTTCAAACCCTGAAGTTTACAGGTTCTAAAGTTGTTAACAGTTTAGTGTTAGAACATAAAAGAAGAAGAAAATAAACCCTTCCTCTACTTTCTGTGGCCTGTGAATTAAACTAACAAAAGACAGATTAACAAAAGGAAGAAAATCAGTTTATTTACACATGAAACTCAAATACATGTGAGAGTGAAGACTGACTCAAAAGAGTAGTTAGATCCAAGGGTTTGTATACTTTCCTAACAGGTGAAGAGTGAAAAAGAAAAGCACTGACGGGAAAACAGATGAGTTTTTAAAAAGTTAAATAGGTTTCCAAGAGAACAAACAGGTAAGAAATTTTGTAATATTTGTTCAAGTGGGTATGAGTGGTTTCTCTGTCTCCTTCAAGGCCATAAAACTCCCCTGAAAAAGAAATTTGGGATGGGTTTTATTTGCATTCTCTCTTCTGGGAGTCGATTTGCACGATTGTTTCCCAGAAGTTGCTGCTTTTAGTCAGATAAGGGAACCTCCATGATAGTTTACGCTCATACACGTGTTGAGTCACAGATGACTTTGACTTAAATAATCTTTCTACCCAAGCAGTATATTTGAGAGTGGCGTAATCTGGTCTTTCTCAGAAAAAAGACATAGAGTGACCATTACAAAGTGATGATAATGGCTGGGGAAGAGAATAGTTATTTGAGACCTTACTGCATACCTAGATACTTCACATTTATTAAAACCTCAAATTGTGTAGTTTTACCTTTTTCATAATTGAAGCACAGAGAATAAACTGTGGTGTAACATCCATGAACCGATGCTATGAGACCCCCTCAAACAATCCCACGTGCTCTGATTCCTGAGACCAAAGCATGCACTGTACCTCTTTCTCGGTTTATTTGATTATTTATGGGCTTGGGTCAAACCTGCTCCAGGGAGAACCACAGGGGAAAACCTGGCACAGCTCTTGCACACACAGACACTGTGTCACTGCAGGACTTTGGAGCGCTCGGATTGGATTTGGGACCAGCTCCTTGCTGCGTATTTGGAGGGAGAGACAAGTGAGGTTAGTTAACTTCTTGGGGCTTTTAGTCTCAGCACTGTTTGTAGCTTTGGGTATCTGACATTTGGGAAAGGAAGAGGAAGTGGCACTTAAGAGGTGGGTCTCAGAACTGAGTCTTACCTGGGGAGCACCACTGACTGGCACCTTGTTCTCCCCCTAGTGGGGGGCAGATTTGCTGACAGCGGATTATAAACACAAGCAAATATTGACAGAAGTCAGGTCATAGAGAGACAATGTCATCTGCCTACTGGGGAAGGATAAACCCACAGCTAGGAAAAGGGACTGGGGCACTAGATTTACATTCCCAGAAGCTGGGAAATGTCTAAAACTGAGTTTTAAAACTGTTAGTCCTCTTGCGCTCTCTCTGTTTTTCACAGTCCCTGACCGTACTAACTTATTGCTACTCTTATCTCCTGTTGCAGGACCTTTAGGGTGTTTGTTTTTGTTTTGTATTTTTTCTCCCAGTTTCCTAGGGGAAGAAAAATCAATATAACCTCTGTACTAGAAGAGATGTGGATGTGCTTGGTCTGGTTTTAAACCATATTAGGAGATCTATCTGGATCAAACGAGGTTTTTGGGCTGGGCTAATTCCAGGGGTCAAGTCTTTGGCACAAGATGTTCTGTTGGATTGTGAGCTGCCTTGTGTTTGGGTGGCTGACTTCTGCCTCAGATGGTATGTATGCTTAAGCTAAGCTTATGGGAGACTTGGTATCAGTTTGTGGGTTGGGAGGCATTCTTTTTAGAATTTTAGTGATATTTACAGTTATTTGTTCGTTCTTATTAAAAAATCTCAAGTTAAGTTGCCTAATGCTTTATACTCACAAGGGGCTTAGTACATATTTAATATTGATCCTGCTCTCTAAAAAGATTGGTTATCAATGATTTGCACTTCTGGGAACAAAATGAGCACAAATTTTCAAAGTCCGGAGAGGCAGCACCCACTCTGAGCTCCAGGACTGCTGAGAAGGGGGTGCTTCTTGAGTGGACACCTTGTGCCTGACTTGGAGTGAAATGCCTATCACCTTTTTGAAAGAACCATGTAACTTTGAAAATCTTTGGAAAAGGAGGGACGGGGATGTGCTTGGACATGGAAGAGAAGGGGAATCAGAACCAGTGATCTGGCAGAAAGATACATAAATGCAGGAGGTGAACAGGGGCCTCCATGCAGCACTCAGGACACCAAGAGTCTGGCTTCTTTCTTGTTCCAGCACAGAGCCATCCAGAAATCCCCTCCGTGAAGAACAGCATATCCATTGCAGAGGTGGTAGAAGGACAGATTCGGGGGACTTACACATGCATCCAGGGCTACCACCTGGAAGGGAAGAAAGTCTTTTTTTCCAATGCCTCTGAGGAGTGGGATGCCTCTACCACACAATGCCGCTGTAAGTTGAGTTTTTCTTCCCCTTTCTGTCATCTCACTATGTTCTTTTTTAAAAAATCTTTTTTATTTTAAAGAGGATAAAACAAAAACAAAACAAACCAGTGTAAGAGATACAGAACTTCAAAACATGACAAGATCAACAATAGTTACCATAATGCCTTTTGATGTCTTTAAAGTAGCTGCAGGTAACTTCAGACACAGTAAAAATCAAACAGAACAGGATAGAATAGAAATAATAAAAACAAAACGATGAATGCAGTAAAGGATCCAAAATTGCTACCATAATATATGTTGCTGTCCTTGAAATAGCTTTTCCCGCCATTATATTTGACATAAACAAAACAAAAGAGAATAAAATCCAACCCAACAGAACAATGGAAATGATACAGGATTTCCAAAACAAGATCATAGGGAATCAACAATGGCTGCAACTCTCAAAAGCAGATTCCCCTCTAGATGCTACACTGCTACCACTATTCTCCGAACCTATGATCAAACCACTGGCCCTAGACAGTGAAACAACAAAGCACCACAGGCATCCAATTGCATTTCACCTCCATCATCACAGCCTGTGTTTCTCTGGATAAGCCAGTGGCTCATGGGGGAAGGAGGTTGGTACTTCTTGTTTCCCAGCCTGTCCATCAGAAGGGGCTGACATCTGGCCATTCCCAGTCTGACAGCAGCCCGTGCATGGCACTGGTTCCCAGAGTGGGTTTGTTTGCCGGAGTGGCCATTGTTCTCTCTCCCCCTCAGTCTATGAATGGTTTCGCTATATTCTTTTATATCCTCTTTTCTGTATACATTAAAACTGTATTTTAAAAATTCTTGGTTTCTAGGAATCCTTTTTTTTTTTTTTTTGTACTGGGAATGGAACTCAGGACCTTTGTGCTTATCAGGCAGGCTCTGTGCAGATGAGCTATACCTCTGGCTCTGAAGAAGTGGAACTTCTCTTCAAAGACACAATATCAGCTCTTGATCAGTATGAGGTTGACTAAGTTAATAGAATCAACTTACTTTAATGAGAAAGACTTTTTTTTAGTAGAGCTGAGATCAACTCAAGGGCTGAGGTCATGCTAAGCACCTGTTTTACTATTAAGCTACATTCTTAGCCACAAAGAATTTTTCCATGTATTAAGCCTGCCTTTTTTTTGCTATAATTTATTTAATCTCATGCTGCTTTAAAAATTCATGTGTTTAAGCCTATACTCCCAGCTCTTCAAGATGCTGAGGTAGTAGAATCACAATTTAAATGAAAGAGAAGGAGATGTTGAAGATGTAGATTAACGTGAAGGCCCTGGGTGCAACCTCCATTATAACAAAAAATTATACTATTGAAAAAACCAACAGTCTGAAAAATCAAATTAACATATATTCTCACTTCACAGCCTCATCAGTTATCAGCACATGATTAGTCCTGTATCAGCTACATCTTCACTTTATATTCTGAAATAAGAGCATCAAATCATTTTAGTCCACTCATCATGTAACTTCTCAACAAGGAAAAATTGATGTTTTTAATTTACAAGTGTGGTATGTGAGACCAGAGTGACTTCCTCAATGTCACAAAATGTGGCATCTTCAGAGATGCAGAATAATTAGTTCATATCCTCATTATTATTAATATTTAACAATAGTGGTATTATTTATCTGTGAACCCATGCCAATATTTTCATCATTCACTAATACAAAGAAATTCTTATCTTTCTGCATTTTCTCATTTTTCTGAAAAATCAAAATCAAAATCAATCATAAAATGATATTTATCATTGGCTGGATGAAAGGTAAGACTTGTGTTAACATAGATTCAAGAATTCTGAGCAATGCATAGCATGACAAGATCAGGAATATACTGTTGGCAGTGTGTAGTTATGTGCTTAATTATGTTTAGTCAATTTGACTTTCAATTCATGTCCTTCTTGTGGAGACAAAGACCATTTCTAGAGGACTTAGAGCAACTTGCTTTTTTCTTATCCTGTAGTTTACTGCATGTACCTGTCCTCATTAAAAATGTGCAGCTTGAAGCTCTACTTAGCTCTTTTCTCTCTGAAGCCTAAGAACTCTGGCTTTTGCTGTGATAGGTGTCAACCTGGTCCTTTCGGTTCACTGTTTTCTTCTGCAGTGGGCCACTGCCCTGACCCTGTGTTGGAGAATGGTGAGTTCAGTTCTTCAGGTCCTGTGAATGTGAATGACATAATCGCATTCAAGTGCAATGACCATTATATCCTGAAGGGCAGCAGTTGGAGCCAGTGCCTAGAGGATCACAGCTGGGCGTCTCCCTTTCCCATCTGCAAAAGCAGTAAGTACCTAGCAACAACCAGGAATCCCAAAGATGCTGATTAGCAGCCTTACCCTAGATACTCCCACACTTTCATCTGTGTGTCTGGACCTAGCAGAGAGCATAGTTCTTGGGCATAAACCTTGAATCAAAGGTGTGTCCCTGGGAGATGAGCAGCATCCAGTAACAGCCTATTCTATGGTCCTGTAAAGCACAGGTTTCTCTGTTTAAACCAAGATTCACACCATCTCCTTCAGTTCAAAATTAAACTCTTAAATCATCAAAGCCCTGAGTTAGAATTCCTTGATTGACACATGGAAATTCTTTATTTCTCCCATTGTTTTTGATTGCAATCTCTGAACTTTTACAGATTCTGTGTTAACTATCTAATATAGCAACAAGCTCCTACTTTTTAAATAGCTGTGTATACATATACCATAATTTACTGTACCGCTCTCATACTGATGGACGTTTATTTCCATAGTTTTGCTATTAGGAATAGTGCTGAATGAATGCTTTATATATCCCCATACCCTTCTGTATATGTTATTTCTTTCGGATATTATTAGTCTAATATTTGAATATCAAAATGTAAAAATAATACCAGTCACAATATCTATGTGAAAATTTACTGGGGGCAAACATCAAGGCTCAATGAAGGAAGATGCATGCCCTGCTGCTGGACCGGGCCGAGTACCATAATGCATCCCTCCCAGTACTGTAAATTCATAAGATGTGGGATAAAGAGCCAAACAGAAGACAGATAAATAAGAAAGAGTGAGAACAAGAGATGGAGGGGAGGGAGGGGATGGGAAAAGAAGAATTGAAGATAAAAAAAAAATGATGGAAATAGAGCTTCTGAAATGGGAAGGGACCAAGAGTTGGACACAGGAAGAGGAGGGGTAGAAAATGAAAAGAAAAAAAAATACACAATAAAAATAATCATTATATGTGCCAAACATGCAATAATAAAGTGTGAAATAGAAAATTAACTTTAAAATCCCATCTGGGAGGGTATATGTCTAACATTGCAAATCTATGTTTCTGGAAAACTATAACTAGTGTTTATATTTGACTGGATCAAATGGGAGGAAACAGTTGCCTTATTAGCAAAATGTACAATAATATTGTAGGCAAAAGGCAAATTGTAGGTGTTATACTTAATATACCATAAAAATAGCAATTTTAGGGACATAAAATTAGGACACTTTATCTTAGATCCAAGGAAAGCATTCATATTCAGTGGTAATGAGATAATGGCCTATTTGGAAGAAGACAAAGTTGGGGCAGTAGCTCATGCTACATGAAAAAATATATTCCAAAAGGATTTAAATATATTACTATGAAAACAAAATGATTATATTATTAAAAGAAAAATGAATGCATATGTGAGGAGGAAAACTTTTTTTCAGCAGTAACATAGAATTCAGAATTAAATGAAGAGTAAGGACTTGATACAACTACATTTTAAAAGCAGCAACACATTTGGTTACAAACATGGTTTTTACATTTTAAATATGCAAAGGAGTGCCAAGAAATCAGTAGGAAAAAGACATAGTGGAAGAAAAATGACAAAAATGAAAGGGTGGAAAATTCCAAAGTTATGGCCTCAAGCAGCATTTCTAGTCCCCAATTTTGTTGAACACTGCTAATAATTATGAAACCAGAAATTAAAATCAGATATAAATCTCTTATTAATCAAATTCACAAAAATGAAATATTGATTTCATCTCATATCATTCAGGATATGAGGAAATAGCCACTTATGTCAGTGAAAGAGTAACTGATATTAATTTTGGATATAATTTGGCAGTGTTATTAAAATAATAAATGGGTAGATATTTTAAAAGCACAAACTATATATGCTTCTATGAGGACATTATATTACTCAAAACATGCATACATATTACATACAGTCAAGTAACCAGCATGTAGGTGATGTCATTTTACATCACAAGTGTGACACAGGTTTAAAGTATTTCTAATATCTTCTAAACTTTTTCTGTTTTATTTAATTGAGCAGTATCTATCCCAATTCCCAACCATGGGATCCCTGTCTCGCATTACTTAACTGCTTCAATTTTGGATAATTTTTCAAGGTGTCTGTAAAGCATATTTAGACCTCAGATTCACCCCTTCTCCTTCAGTTCAAAATTAAACTCTTAAATCACCAGAGCCTTACCTGAATTAGAATTCCTTGATTAACACATGGAGATTCTTTATTTCCTTTATTCAGCTTTTGAGTGCAATCTTTGAACTTTTATAGATTCTATATTAACCATTCAAGTGATTGCATCTTTGTTATCAAAAAATATAGAAGCAGCCAGGTATGATGGTACATGCTTATAATTCAGGCACATGGGAGGCTGAGGCAGGAGGATCACCACAAATTCAAGACCAGCCTGGGCTATGCAGTAAATTTAAGGCCAGCCTGCACTAGTTAGTGATAACCTGTATATGACGAAATCAAATTCCTACAACCCTACCCCTGGACAATAAGGGTTAATAATACCTTTTACAACTGACTCCCCATAAATTTTTTTCTGTGCATGTTTGCATGAGACTGTGCTTTACAAAATGTACTACATTATACATGGTTTTTTAAAAGTAATTTTTGTTTGTTTTTTGAGACAGGCAGACTCTGAACTTACTCTGTTGGGGTTACATGCATGCGTCATCAACCCTGGGTCATCTTTTATAATTTTCTTTTTTAACTCAATACATTTGTTTTCAAAACCTTTATATTTCAGTATGTAACTTTGTGATCATTCCTAGCGTAGCCTCTAAACTTCACCATTTAGCCTCACGAGAATGTCAGAACTGAAAAGGACCCCCCTAATAATATTATTTAACCTACTTATTTTAAAATGTCAGGTTGTCTTGTGGTGTAAAACACTATGTCGCTTAAATTGTTCTGTTCTGACCTGTTCTGTTATGTCCTCTTTTATTTTAATCTTTTTTTTAAAGAAAAAAAAAAGAAGCTGAGAGGTGTGGAACGGCTCCTTCAGTGCCTCACTGTCAATGGAAGAGCCAGAGTCAAAACTCAGGACTCCTAGTGCCTTGTCCACAGTTCTGCAGACCACACTCTCCCCTGCCAGCTCTGTTCCCGTACTGCTGCTCCCGTCATATTTCACCGCTCTGGCCTGCAGTGGTGCCAGCCTCTGAGCTTACACCCATCACCTCCTGTCTGCCACCCTCACCTGGAGCCTAAATTTTCTTTCGTGTCCACGACCTATCAACAGTGTCAACTTCCTGTCCTTGATTTCCTTCCAGTCACAAAATACTCCCAACCCCCTGGGAATCAGGGGCTGAGGCGGTGTGTGTGTGTGTGTGGGGGGGTGGTTCTCATGGACTCACTGTGACTCTGAAGGGAAGGAAGTTTAGGGAGGGCCTGTCCCCAGGTCCCATCTGTGGCGCTGGCATAGATGGTGCAGGTGAGGGTGCTGTCCACGGAGCAGGCCTGGCCTTCATGGAAGTGCTTCTGTGCTCCTTTCTCTCAGGAGACTGTGACCCCCCTGAGAAGCCAGCTCATGGCTACTTCCAAGGAGCAAACTTCACCTCAGGGTCCATGGTTACTTATCACTGTGAGAGCAGGTAAGTGCACAGTGCTCTTCAAACATGAGCTCCTGCTCCTGGGCAGCATTATTTTGGGGAATGACTTGAACTGTATTTACTTTGTCTCCCCCAAATAAGACCTAGCCAGAAAATAAGCACTGGTTGTTATCATGGTAATGGTCAGTGTCCTGTGGAATGTCACTCTTTGCTATGTTTCTGTTCAATAGCCACTCTGTAATGGCAGCAGAGGTGAGGCGGTGAGGCGAGGACAGGTTGATCAGGGCTGGCAGTTTTGATCTCTAGTTTTTAAGGCCACTTATTTTCCAGTTAGGTCTTCCTTTCAGGGAAACATGACCTCTGGTCCCCTGATTTCTTATAGTTTCAGGATCCAGGACTCATTCTGATTTTGAGAGCTGCTTTAGCTAGCTCTCTCCAATCCTGAGAAAGTAGTCTGCTTGCTTTTTTTCTCCCACTTAGGACAAAGCTTAAAATACTGTGATTCTCTAAAGAATCAAAGACCAAAAAACTTATCAAAATACAGAAGTTGAGAAACAAAAATTTAGAGGATGGACTCATACATAACCCAGCATAACCTTAGTTTAGAATGCTGGTCTCTCACCTAATGGATCTGCTCGACTTCTCTTACCCTTGCATCAATCTTCCTGAGTCGTGTGGCCTGTCTGGTGTTTTACTCCAATAGACTTCAGTCAGCTCTTACATTCTGCTGCTCCCCTCTCTCCCATCTACCAACACTTCTTTGTTGTACATCTCTAACCTTCTGCTTTGGGGAGCTTGGGTGACAGGTGCTTCGATAGGCTATTGCATGGTCAACTGTTTTTTCCCCTAACCTTCCTCAAACAAAAATGCTGTGTGCTCAACACCGACTCAGCAGTTCCTGCTGCTCCTGGTTTTAGGGCTGAGGCATCCCTGGGTCCTTCCCTTCACTCAAGAGAGTAGTTCCACCTTATAACTGCTTTGCGGTATGGAAGTAACTTTAGCGTGCACTGAAGCTCAGGGCCAGCGAGGTGAGTTCCACCACAGTTGAAACACTGAACTGCAACTGCACCAGGCAGCCTGAGTTTCCCGCTGTGGGAGGCAGGGGAGGCTCAGCGTTGGCTCTGTGTGCTCAGGTACCGCCTGGTGGGCACCCCAAAGCAGCAGTGCGTGGATGGGGAATGGAGTGGTGCTCCTCCGGTCTGCGAGCTGATCCCACGCTCGGGGTTTGAGGAGGCACTGGTGAGTAGGAGGCTGTGACTTGGGGGCCAGGCACCACTCCTGGGACATGGTCAGCAAATATCAGTTCAGTTTTGGACTATGTGTTTGAACGGGTTGGCCTTGGCTTGATTGTGCAAAGGGCCTCATATTCTATCTGCTCACGTTTCTATGTGAGGTCGTTCCCATCTACTGTAAGACCGGTGTCACAAAGGAGACTCCAAGGGCCCCGCTCTCATGTAAGAACAAAGGGGTTTTTATTATTCCATGCACACGGGGTCCTCCAAACAGGTGGAAACGGAGAACCCCAAGTTGGGGCAAGGCTGGTGTTTTTAAGGGGGAAAAACCGCAATGTAAGCGTTTATTACAGAAGCCAATCATTACAGTTAGTGCAGAGCGGTGGGCATCTTATCTATCTGCTATTGGTCAGTTCATAAGGGGTGACCAGCGGGTCAGAGTTAATTAACTGTCTTTGTTCTGCACAACTTATCTTTAAGATACCTGGTTTCTGTAGACTTGAGTCTGACATATTTTACAACCCTGATTAGCGTAATGGCAGGCTCTATCTCTGAGTTCCCACAGCACATCCCGAGAACATCACAGCCACAGAGGTTTTTTTTTTTTTTTTTTTCTTCCTGCAGGGCTGAGTTAGGACTGAGTCACGAGGCCCAGTGCTGTTTCTAGCTGAGAAACAGCATCTTGTTTTTAACCTTTAAATTTCTGGTTCTTCACTACCAGCATGAGAAAGCCTTAGAAATCCCCGTTTAGGGGAAGGCGTTGTCTTATGTGACTTATAGAACAAGGTACTTAAACTCAGTGCCTTCACTCTGGAAGGCTGAGGCAGGAGGATGATTAAATTTGAGCCCAGTCTGGGCAATTCAGCCACTTAGCAAGACCCTGTCTTAACCCAGCCCAACCGAACCAAATCAAATCTCAGTGCCTGAGATTATGTTATTGTAATGTTTCTAAAAATTCCTCTGAATTCCAACAAAAGCTGAACAGATCTATTTTTCTTAAGATTCTTCTTTTGGTCCATATTTACTACTGGGGAACTATTAGTAAGTTTGTTTATGTCAGAAAATGTAAATGATTGAAGACCCAGATCCCTACGGAAACTCTGTGCTCCTGAGACCCACCTGCTATGGCTGGATCTCAGTCCTTCACTGGTAACTGTTAAAAGAATGTGCTTTCTTCAGCTTGCCTTTCAGGAGAATACGGACCTGTGCAGTGCCATAGAGAACTTTGTGAGACGAGTAAAGGAAAATGGCTTAACCATGGAGGAACTAAAATACTCTCTGGAGATTGAGAAAGCAGAGTTGATGCAAAAACTGTTGACCTGACATCAGAGCTGAGCAGAATGGCGATAGAAATGCTTTAATGAATAAATTTTCCTCATGATTCTAAAATGCTTTCTTACTGGGCTGAAATGCAATTTCATAGTAGCCCCTGGCATAAGGTTGTGTGTGTGTGTGTGTGTGTGTGTGTGTGTGTGTGCATATTGTCACATTTAAACTATGAAAAGACCAAGTGCAGTTAGTATTAAAAACCAGAATTGGCAACACATTAATGGAGATTGGACAGTTTAATTTCCTGTGTGTAAGAAGGAGGAAGCTTGGGTCTCAGCTGAGAGTGTACCTCATATTTTAATATGAGACACAAATTATGGGGCAAAAACTAACCCAAGTTACTCAAAAAATATGGGCAAAATTAACCTCTTCTGCTGAAAAAGGAAGCTCAGAATAGTTAAATACACCATGGAGACAGAAACAGTGTTAGGTCCCAAACTCTTTCCTGGGTTTCACCTACACAAGGTGTAGGATGCTGGCTTCCTGAACGTTCTGCCGTAACACTGCTTACTGCTTTTTGGATGAAACCGAGTCCTGCATTATTGTGAGGCTTGAGGTGTGTGATATAAGAAGATATATTTTCTTCTGCTTTTTTAAGAGTAGAAGAAATTAGAATCCTAAGACTTTCTTACCAAACATCATACTGAGCTGACCTGACAGACTCCTTCCATTTCTTACCCCAACTCCCGCTGCAGCACACAGGAAATCTGGGGGAAATATATCCACACTACACTACAGAGGATAGCTTGAAATAATGGAAAATTCGTAGGTGAACTGTTGTAGTCAGGGTTTATGAGGGAATATATTTAATATAGGACATGTAATTTATAGGATTATTTGATAATATTCCCCCAAACAGTCAAATGCAAAAGAGTGCAAATCTGTCCACACAGTAAGAGATGCAAAGAATCCAGCTGAGGGCCTGGATCCCACAGCAGTGTTCTGCAAGGGTCCAGCTAAAGACCTAGGGCCCATGGCAATGGGTCATGAAACTCTGTACTAAGGATCTGCACTAGGAACATCCAGAGGTCACTGGTGCAAACCAGAAAGTCTGTACCAGCAGGCTGAGGGATCCGCCCTGGAACCAGGAAGTGATGCCCAAGGTAAGGACCAGAGCTCCCCTGAAGAGAACCGCAGTCATTCTCAGCTACAGTGAGGGCCTGAGCTCCTCCGATAACAGCTGACTTTGCATCAGGAAAACCAGCATGACAGGCTTCTCCAGGAGAATCAACAGCACCATCTCTTTCTTTCCATTTTGTTTATGATGTTGGCATAAACAAAGGTGGGTTTTCCACACCCTGTGCCACGCTAATTCAGTTCAACGAGGTGTTACCAATTGACCATTAGTTAATCTGCCACATAAAGTTACAAAGAAAGACAAGAAATGGACTTTTAAGTAATCAAAAGTCTTAGAATAGACCCAGATCTGGCTACTTTAGGGTGCTTGGGGGAAGTTAACTTTCAGGGTGCAGTGTGCTGTGAAAGCAGCAGAGGAGGGGATGCAGGGAAATAATCACGGAAGCCTCACAGTTTTTCGCACTTTCAAAGATTATATTTACAGACACAGTGAAGAAGGATATTCCAGGGGGAAAGAATATTTTTACAATGAAACAAGAAGGAACTGAGAGTATATCTCATATTTTAACCCAGTAAATCTATACCTAGGATTAATCTAACTGGCATATATTGATTTTAATTGGAAGGGGTTTTTTTGTTTGTTTGTACCTGGAATCAACCTCATGACTTCTGCTCGCCAGGCTGTTGTTGTGCTGCTAAACTACATCCCAGCCCAAAGCTGTTTATATTGTTGTCAATATTGGGCACACATTGCAAGCATCTGAATGTCCAATTATAGAAAAAAAATTTTTTTTTGGTTTTTAAAGAAAAGGTCTTACTATGTAGTTCAGGTTAGACTTGAACTCACTTCCCAGCCCAGGGTGGCCTCAAACTCGTGATTATGGAGTTTAAGGCAAACCTGAAATTCCAATCTGAGATCCTAGATTACATTTGGTATTGAAAGTTCCTCTCCAGATGTGCGGGAGATAAGGCACTTGCAAGATGTCCATTGGCCAGCAAAACGCCACCACCACCAGCACCAAAGTGTTTGAGTTTAGGAGAATAGTAACAAATAAAGATGTAGGATGGGAAGCCCTCTAGATGAGAATAAAGCTTTGATAGTAGGTTCATTCATTAAAGTTGTGAAGAGAAATTTTTAAAAAAAGGACACGAACTGTTTCTATAGTTAGGAATGAGAAGGAATAGGAGGTAATGGTAACTAAAAAAGAGAAATTGATAAGGTAAGGGAGCTTAACTCCTTCCTTTCTGAAAACTCTCTGGGACTTCCAGTATATGTTCTAGAAAAGGTTATGTTGTCAGAAAGAATTACCTTGCAACATTTTCTGAGCAAACATTTCTGAAGCTTTAGGATACACACTTAATTGGACAATATTAGGGTTTGGATTCCTTCTTAGCTTCTGAGAAACACTGCCACCCCTCCTTGTGACATGAGCAGTGCTCAGGGATAAGCCGACTTCCTGAGGTCTTCCAGCACCCAGCATATACCAGTAATGGTGTGGGAGCCCGGGCCTGGCTGAGCTCTGAATATGCTTTCGTTATCTCAATCCAGTGCAGGAAACTCAATAAATCAGTTCTCCACTGTTTGTACCTCCTTGGGATGGAATAGAGATTAGTGCCTGGCAAGACCCTCAGCCGGGAGCCCCCAGAACACATCTGGACCTAGTGTTACTACAGGAAGTGGATCGTTTTGGTGGTATTTGGGTGCTGCAGTATTTAAGGCTTCCAGGCAGCTAGACTGCATCTTGCATAACCCTGTTGTGTTTATGAAAAGCAAATGGAATACAGGCATCAAATTCAAATTACCTTTTCATTTAGGGGAAATGGTTGGCAGAGGAGAAAATGATTGCAACATGTTATCAGAACAGGACTAGAGGAGACGAGAGAGATAAATAAATACTGCTGCTCTATTTCTGCTGTTAATTATTCACTGGGCCAGAGGAGAGTTCCTCCCTATCCATCTCCATCAGCTACCCCTGAGCACTCAGCTGCATGGGTGGAAGTGAGGGATTTCTTTGGTGGAGCAGCTACTAGTCCACTTCAGGGCACTGTGATAAGCCCTGATCTCTGGAGGAACTTGAATTCTGCACACCAAAGCACCACAACAGAGCCTTTCCCTCTATTACTACAGGTCAGTGGATTACTCGGGGAGCGCCTGGGGGGGGGGGGCCCTTGGGGAAAGCAAGTGTTTGGGCCTTTTGGAGAATATGGAATAGAAAGTATAATCTGAGACAAAAACTTGATGATGTTTTCAGAAATCTCTTCAGGAGTATTGCATTAGGGAGACTTGAGTAATTTAAGCCCTCTCAGCCTTAAGTTTTTATTATAAATTGATGAGTAATAATGTCTGTAAATAAAATAAAGCAGAAAAAAGTGAAAGATGATATTATTCTCTTTATTGTACCCCAAAGGTAAGTTTGTTGGTCTGTAGAGTTTTTGTTTGTTTGTTTGTTTCTTTGTTTAGACAGGGTCTACCTATGTAATTTAGGCTGGCCTTGAACTCACTGGGTAGCCCAGGCTGGCCTCAAACTTGTGATCTTTTTGCTTCAGCCTGTCAAATGCTGAGGTTACGGTGTGCACCAACATAGCCTGGTCTCTTGATTCTTTATCCCATCCCCACATAGAAGTGTTGGGGCAAGAGATAAACATTTCTCAAAGAGGAACACAGAGTCTAGTTTTCCATAGTCTATATTCGGAAAATTGTGAAATTCTTCTTGGAGATTTTACTAAACTCCTCACTGACATCAACAACTGCAAAGATCTTTAGATTTGGTAATGGGGAATCAGTTCTCAGTTTGTTCCTGAAAATAGAATCCTTAATCACCCTTGCTTTCTTTGTTGTCCTTGTTTCCTAAATCTGACCTTATCAATTACTCTTTTTTTCTTGAAATTCTCTTCTCCCCTGGCTGGCCACACACTGTCCTCATTTTAATTGTATCTTTATTGATTCCTACTCTGTCTCTGAATATGATGGTGCTAGAAGAAAAAGCAGCATGCACTGAAAAGGAGGAGGCATCAGATAAAGTTTCATTAGACTCAGAGATACTTTTGAATGTAATATGAGCCGTGGAAGGAGCTGGTAAATAACCAGGTGCTAGAATGGAAGGAGAAGCATGGAAGCCAGTTCTCTCTGGGTTTGGAAGTGATACTAATTGAAAGCCACAGCACAAAAAAACTCCATTGCCTGAGACTAGATCTTTCCAGAGGTAGTCTGAATTTTGAAGGGAGAATTTAGACTGAAGAAAAGAATTAACTTAAAAAATAATCTCTAGGCTAGGGATTTAGCTCAGTGGCATAAACGCCTGCCTTAGAAGCACACAGTTGTGAGTTCCATCCTTGGTCCAAAAAAAAAAAAGAGTCTCTAACAGAAGCAGAAACTTAGGGACTGAAGATTTCCTCAGTGTCTCTCAAATTGTACTGCAATAGGAAGTGTGGGCAGTGGTTTTCACAAAACCTCTGCCATCCTGACTGTAGTTCTTGAATTGGCTTTATTTTTATAAAAATTAAACAGGTAATGATATTTTTTAAATGCATAGGAATTTGCTGGAGTAGTCTCAGCTTTTTAGTGAATGCAGAATTGTGTTGTTTGTAGGAAATAAAATAGATCAATAAGGTTGAGTGGCATTGTTTTAGAGATGAGGAAATTTAGTTTCAAGGAGCTAATGTAGCTTTTTTGCAATCACAGACTTAGACTGTGCCATTGCTACAGTTCAAAGTCAGGTCTCCTCAGTTTGCGAGTTCTTACCCCCATCCTCATACTCTGGTCAGCGGAATCATGTGCAAATTCTGCTGAGAGACCCATGGAACAGCTGGAAATGTGAGCTGAATCACAACCCGAGAGTTCATGCGAGAAGTCTAAGCTCCTTATCATCTCCCCACTAAGGCTTACCAGGCAATTTTAATGCACTGTATCCTTTAGGAGTCAGTCAATCATTCTTATTCCAAAGTCAGAACTAAATTGAATTTTACTTATTCCACATTTATTGGATAAGTCGTCTACACAGTTATCATATCAGATTAGAGACAGAAAGTTAAAGGAATATCCTTGTCTTCAAAGAAACTGCAATATATTTCAGGCAACAAGAAAAACAGGCTGTTTGATCAAAGTTATCAGCAAAACCCCCTGGGGAACAACAGAGACACTGACTGTTCTTCATGGAGGTGGCCTTGGATCTGAAAAGTGAATAAAACAGACATTAGTGGTAAGAGCATTCGTGCACAGGAGACATTATATGCAAATGCATGCAGGTGTTTTTAAAAGAGCGAGAGGTATTTTGAGAAAGGTAAGTACCTGCATGAGATTTGAAACACAGCATTGTTCTGTTTGCAAAAGAGAGGTATGGAGAGCCGGGAGAGGAAAGGGACCCATGGGAATTGGGGACTATGTAAATTTTTAAGCAGGGTGAATTGTATAAATTCCTTTCTAGAATATAATGGTATGGCCAAAGCTGACTACAGATATTTGGAAAGTTTTGCAGTGACCTGGGTTAGGGCAAGGAAATTATTAGAACGTGTACCTGGACTATAGAAGTGGAGTACAGGAGAGAGAGAGGCGAGTATCCATGCTTCTGCAATGGTCAGCTTGACAGGAATGGCCCCTTGTAGCAGGGCTAATTAATGTTCCTTGTTTAGGAGGCTGGGAAGAAATTATTACATTAGCCAAATGCTGCAGAAGTCAAATAGTATTGGAGGAAGACGATTTGGGACCTATTGGATACGAGGTGCCTGAGAAATTCAAATGGAAGTGATTGGAAATAATAACCTGAGCCTTGGCAATTGTAATGCCTTGAAAAACGCGTTGTTTGCTTAACTAAAAAAAAAAAAAATCTAACAGTCAAAGTTTAGTTTACATTTGGGATTTCAGGTGAGGAAGAATAACGGATAATACATTTCTGGATCTGTGAAAAAGTACTTATAACTGACAAAACATGAATGTTCATTTAAATACTACCCCAGACAAAAATAATTCTCTGAGAGAACCAGTCAGAACTTCAGTCTTTTCTAAGGTTACAGCTTACTCTCACGTGGCAAAGTGACAACTTTTTCCTAGACAGACGAGTCTAGGAAAGACTCCTTGATTGGAAATACTATTTATAGCATCAGTAGTGTCATGTAATATATTTCCACTACTGCAGGGGAAGAGGAATATTTCTCTGTTTTGCTAAGATTTTTTTTTCACTGCTTTTAGAAAGACATATATTTTTAAGCTAAGCACAGAAATTCCTCTAGTTAGCAACCAGAATAGAAAGGATAAAGACTGAATGATTTCAAACTTATATATAGGAATATTCAAATAGGGTAGAATAAGGTAATGACTAGCAAATTCGTGGAGCATGTAAGGTTGTACATCTACAAGGAGAAACTGGGCCTAGAGGACTGTGTGTGATTCACGAGTGATGATCAAAGTCATCCATGGGATGAGTTCTTCCCAGAGAGACAGTTGAGGGGGAGGAAAGAAACATCCAGGACACCTCTAGGGGCCCTGGCGTCTCTGCCCTGGGTCTCACTGTACCCAGAACCAGGAGAGAGACCAAGGCTTCTGGCCCCAAGCCCAGGGGGTGTTCCTCTGCACTGGGGCATAAAATCCCCCTGTAAAACAGCCACCCTTATTATAATTCAGATCATTACAATGACATTTTGACTTCTAGTAGTTCTGCTTCTGGCAGAGGGTCATTTAAGCACCTGTTCTAGCATACTGTTCTCTAATGTCTCTTTTGAATGTTCACTGTGTACCATCTGTGCACTGGGGGAAGCTCCTCTGAGCAATTCTATGGACATGTGCATTTATTGTTCTTATTTTATAAAAGAGGAAATTAAATCATGGTGGGGCCAAGTGTCTTCGCCCCAGGCACGTGATTCTTACGTGGTAGAACTGGAATTTAAGCAACCCACATAGTCTGGGGCTGAGTCCAGAGCCCAGGCCCAAGGCCCTAGGCACACGGCCCTCCTCTGTCCCCAGCCCTGTAGCTGTGGCCATGAGGTGAGTCTGAGATAGAGGAGATGATGATGGTGTGGGGTATCTGTGTGTCTGTACCTCTGCCAGTGGAGGGAGCAGAAGGTAACAGAGCTTATTTCTGTTTCTCTCTTTCCTCCCTCTTTCACTGTCTCCCGCCCCACTGATTGGTGGATGTTATACAGCCTTTGGTTGTTGATTGAAAAGACCTTATAGTAAAATCGCTTGGTTTAGTTTTTCTTAAAACGCAAATGTGCCTTACTTTAAAATTTGCCCTTGACAAAGCTGAAATACAAGGGTAAGGGTAGATATGGATATGTTTCTTGGAAACATTTTATCACTAGGTGCTTTGGGATTTATACTCAGCAGACATTTACTGAACAGTTTTGACTTTGCGAGTGTTGGGTTCTAGGCAGGGTAGAGATAAATAGGAACCACCTCTTACTGCAAGGATCTCTAGCTGGTGATGGAGCCAGACTTCAACAGTTAGTGGAAACTAAGTCAGAATGAAAGCTGTAACCACTGAGCTGAACTTGGCCTGGAGGATAAGGGAACCCTGGAGAAAGGACTGGTGGGCAGAGTAGGAATTAGAGAGGGAATAGGAAGAGAACAGACAATATGGGCATGGGCATGAGGAAGTGACCCCAGGTATCCAGACAGGAGGATCAGGTCAAACTGCTGGAAAGGTAGATGCCAAAGCTGGTTGAGTGATGCCAGCTCCTGAAGGCCCTGAAATTCACCGAAACCAATTTCTGACATTTATCAAATTATCAATTTACCAAATACCACTTCAGGAATATTCATTTCAATATATTCAGTGATTGCAAATACATTCCTTTTGAATGTAAATAATTATGTTCTTCTTAGAATACTCCTATTATAAATATTCTTTTTGTTCAATTTCTTAAAGCTAAAAGTTTAATCTTATGCCTGCATTTTGGTCATGATATACTTCTAAATATACTCAATGTATATATTTTTCCTGTGTTAGTAACAGCTGCAACAATTCATATGACAAAAGTTCATTTTGTATTTTTTAGAGTCAGATTTTACTTTGCCATGCAATCAGTATTTTTAATCTCTTTAGTTTCACTGAATTTGAATAAAATACCAACTACTAACTTGTCAGAGACTACAGAAACTTATAGGTTTCATAGTTCATCATTGTTTTTATGGGATGGGAGAAACATCCATTTTATGAATTTCACAAATAATTTAGTGAGCTGATTTTCACGTTTTAGAATATGTCTTTCCCAACTTCTTTAGACAATCTAGATTAATGTAGTACAAATTCTGCCAACATATTTTCACTAAGCAAATTCATTTAGTAGACTGTTATGTAGGTTAACTCACATTTGGCAGAATTGTCCTAGCGGCCATGCATAAATCTCATGGAACAGGATGTGTGTGGCTCGGGGTTGTCCACCCCAGCAATCGGTGGAAGAACGGCTTCATCAAAACTAAGTTTTAGAAAGGTGAGCTTCCCCAAGACTTCACTCAGTGCAGAGCTGAGGCTCCCCTGCATAGGGTGAAGAACTGCTCTAAATGGTGCCACTCCATAGTGTGGGGCAGAGTCATTTTCCTAAGTGGATGTGGGCTTAGGTATGAATTAGGAACATATGGGATCACGTAGAGAGGCACAAGAATAAAAGATAAAATTCACCATTTTGTTGGTGCTCAAATTACATATTCCTCTGAGGACATGGACTTTCTAGTGGGAACTTAGTGTGTTCACTAAAGGGAAGGGGCAGGTGGGAAGAGTGATAAAGAAAAACATGTCTCTAGTAATTTTACTGTAAACAAGTTTTTGTTTGTTTGTTTGTTTGTTTTGTACTGCACTACATCTCCAGACTCCTTTAATTTTAACTTGAAATAAGATCTCTCCAAACTGCTAAATTTATTAGATTGGACTTGAATTTGCAAACTTCCTACCTTGGCCTCCCAGATTGCTGGGATTACAGATGTGTGTAACCATGCCCAGATAAGCAGCCTTCTCTGTAAAACTTTCTCCCTTTCCCCACTTGGAATTGATCTCTTTTCTCAGCGGGATGCTTGTGCAATGCCAGTCTCCACTGTCTTGTGTTGTGACATTTGTGTTTCTCTGTTTTCTTGCAGTCTAAACTGTGATTTCCTTGAAGTTGTGGATCTGATAGTATTTAACTTAGTGCTTTATGACAAGCAGGAATTCAGTGACTGCTTATTAAATTGAGTTCTTTTAGCAGAAAAATGTCAGAGAAGCACCAAGAAATGCACCCCACAAGAGCTCCAAATGGGACCCTTTCCAAGAAAGGGGCACTGAGAGCCTGGGCCTTCTCTAGGCTGTGTGGAGTCCCCCATCCAACTCTGTTCCAAATGGCACTGGTCACTTCTCTGTTGGCCACCGTTCTTGGTGAGTAATGAGAAACAAGTCCAGAGGGGCAATGCAAAATAAGAGATTTACAAACTAAAACAAAAGATGACAGCTTATAGCCAAAATCGGTTTGGGCAACAAAGGGTAGTGTTTGTTTTTCTGTCAGCTGGGAGTTAGGGGAATTTGCTTTACACATGAAAGAAGCCATTTTCTTGACATTTCACCCTAGAATTTCTCCTCTAAGTATTTCCAAAGCAATCTCTCTCAATCATGGCACTTCATGGCACTTCAAAGCTCTGTCTAATCTATCAATCTAAATGAATGATTTTCACTATCTGTGGACTTATCCAGCATGGATAGGTGAAGTTTGCACCTCTACTGGGGCTCTTAAAGGTAAATCAGTTTTGTATTTGATTTTTGTAAGGAAAGCAGATTAACATCTTTATGTTTCAACAACTCCATGCTTCATCCTCCTTATCATTAAAATATAGAAGAAGCAAAAAAATATTTAAATATTTTGTCTAGCCAGCTCTCAGTCACCCAATTTTCTTTCCCTGAGGTGACCTACATTATGCAATTTTTTTTTATCTTTTAAAGGTAAAGTTATTTTAATGAAATAATGCTTTTATGTTGAGGAACACTTGTGAGGATTTCTGGCTTTGCCTAGATACATGTGCAGCAACAGAGATAGATTATCTGATAGACTGATGAAATTTGTGACCTCTATCCATTTGAGATAAATTATAGTAGAGAAGAGATAAAATTTTATGCCTTTTATCATTATCATTTATCAGCGTACATGCTGATCACTCTTGTATTCATTGAACAAAGGGGACAATAAGAGTTGTATAAGATTTTCCTTGATTAGAGGAGAAAGGAATTATCCTTACTCTAAAATGATCCTATTGAAACATTGAGATGAGATGTCTGAAGATGTAACATTTGGTGCTTCTTGTCATTTTGGTGTCCAGGTAGATGTGGCCCCCCACCTGTTTTATTCTTTGCTACTCCAGCAAAGGAGTTGAACCAGACAGAGTTCACAACTAACACTGTTCTGAAGTACACCTGCCGCCCTGGCTACATCAGGATCCATTCAGATCAGACGCTTACCTGTAAAGTTAATGGCCAATGGCGGTATGAGGTCTTCTGTAGCAGTAAGTATCAACACTCCTCTCAGTTTTTCCAGCTTTGGAATGTTATCTAGGAATCTAAATTTCCTGAATCCAAGAAACCATCCAGTTTCTCAACTACTGATTTTGATGCACACATATGAGGTTAAATTTGTGTGCATTTTTTCTTCAAAAATACAAGTTCAGTGAGTCAAGATCAGAAATAAGTGTGAATCTAAACATCAGGGGCTTTATGAAAGCAGAGGTGGAAACTGATCAATCAGTTTTTTCTAATGCCATATCTGTGAGTACTTGGAATCACTAACCATCATTTAATTTTTTCTCCCAGAGAAACAGTGCAGAAATCCAGGAGATTTACCTCATGGCACAATTGAAGTTAAGACAGATCTCTTCTTGGGATCGAAAATAGAATTCAGCTGTTCGGAAGGGTGAGTTTAAGGTAGAAATAATACTTTTTAATTACTTAAATTTAATTTTATTATTATTATTTTTGGTGGGGGAGTACCTAGCATTTACCAGACAGGTGCTTATGCCACTGAGTTAAATCTTTAGCTTTAATTAATTTTAAAATGGCAAATGTACTCATTTATTTAAAACTTTAAAATGCTCATATATATCAAAATTATACATTGAGAATTCTCACTTACATCCTGTCTCCATATACTCCATTTTTTTTGCAAAGACTTACTTTAATTAGTTTAGGGTGTATCATTCTAGTGTTTCTTTACACAAATACAAGGTAAGATATTGTTTTAATTACTTTTCTCATTGCTGAGACAAAATACCTTGCGTGCAAAGTTAAAGGAGGATAATTTTATTTAGCTCACGATTTGCAGAGGTTTCAGTCCATAGTCAGCTGGCTCCAAGGCAGGGCAGCATGACAGAGGAGCAGTGCAGAAGAGAAACAGTTCATGGTGTGGCAGAAGGCAGCAAAGCAGCAAGAAATACTAGCAGCAAGCCTGCCTTCCCTCTCTTCCCCTTCATATTCTATCCAGGCTATAAGCCTACTGATTGCTGCCACTCACACCCAGGGTAGGGCTTCCATTATCTGCACCCAGAACTATGCTAATTTCAATCATGTACTAATTTAGTACTGTGTACCCTTAATCCCACTATCAAACACTCAATCCACCTTCACATGCTCTAGATCCATCCATCTCTGAAAAACCCCACTATGAGCACATGAGGCTTTGGGGGACATCTAGATACAGGCCATAACAAAAACTAACATATATTTTTATCTTTCTTAGTTCTAATACCAAGCATAATCTTGAATCTTCATTTTCATTACTTATCAGTATATACTGGAGATATTTCATATTTGAACATAACTCTTCTTCATTCACTGTATTTTCAAATATGTAGAATTTTATTCTATAGATACATCCCAGTGCTGTAATACCTGTTTGATGGATGTAGTCTTTTGAAATACTGAACCATGCTTGAATGCATTGTTTTGTACCTATGTGAATTTGTACCAATGTAATTATCAAATACCATTGTGCAGAAGCAATCCAATTTACCCTTGATACAAGATTAAATCACTCCAGTCACTGGAATAGTCCCCTTCTTTGTCTGTTCACTCACTTGCCTGAGAGGCCAGAATTGAAAGGGTTCAACCTCAACTTTAATCTGGTAAGTCATGTAAAACACAGGATGCTTGGCTAAATTTGGATTCATAGCACAACCAATAATTTTAGAATAAGTAAACTCTATATGGATTTGCATCATACTTAAATGAAAAATGTTCATTATTTGCATGAAACTCAAGTTTAAAGTTGAAAAGTAAATATCTTGTCTTTTTATTTGCTACATCTTGCTGTCTGTGGTAGAAGCATTTCTCTGTTGGAAACTAAGACTTCTATATCCAAGAGAAAGTTGCTTATTTCTACTTTTATGATTACTGAGATTGCAGTAGCATCACAGCATATGGTCCAATTTTCAATAATACTCCACAGGCTCTTCAATGATATGTATTTTTATTATCAGTACATAGCATGATATATTTATATGTATATAATGCATATATTTATAATATATATATCAAATACACATCAGGTGTATTTTGGGTTTTTTTAAATCTTTTTATCGGTACCGGGGATCGATCTCACGACCGCCTGCTTGCAAGGCAGGTGCTTATGCCACTGAGCTAAATCCCCAGCCCCCAGGTGTATTTTGTTGTGGTCTCTTTTGAACCTTTTATTGCCTTTCTCTTTATGATTTAAAAAAGAATCAATTTAAATTTATAATTTTCATAATTATTTTGCATAATAAATAAATTAATAATAACAATGTGTTTTGATCATTTTTAATGCACTATGTATTTTAGTAAAGATTTCTAGGTCTTCCCATACTCACAAGTGAAATAAATCAAAGTTGCATGTGTAAATATCATACTGTCTCTCTAGTATAAAAAACTGAAAAAGTAAATAAGATACAGAATATACAATAGATGTTGTAAAGTGAAAGGGAAAGAAACTACTCATAGGAAAGATAAACTGGAATAGGGGAAAGGAGAAAAGAAAGAAGAGATCATATATACATATGACGTATTATATATATATGTGTGTTAGTTCATCAAAAAACAGTTTGTGCTTTCATTGTTTGTTAGACTATTTTTTAATTCCTATATCTTGTAATTTGAATAAGTACTTTGAAAATAATAATATACAGTGTGTATTATTAATAATACACAGGTGTTAACCTTCTATTGTTTTGTTTTGAAATTCTATATCTTTATTTTTATTTTTTTCATTTTCTTAAAAAAATATATACACAAGATAGGTAAGGTAATTATGCTATTAATTCTATTAGTTCAAGGAAAGGAACAGTTGGTGCCTATATTGTTTGATCAATTTTACATGACTATATCTAACAGTCTGAGCAGCTCTTTTGAAGACAGCAATAGACTTCCGGGAGAACATGGCGGATAAATAACAGCAGCCACGGAGGCTCTCTGAGATTACCACCTTAGAATCCAGGAGCGGTGCCATGTGAGGAGTCCCACACAAGGGGAGATGTACCTTGCCGATCCAGGAACAGACTAAGCTGAGAGAAACCAACTGGAAATGCAATCCTGATGCTATAACAGGAACAGATAAAATCTCAGTGTGGAAGCTGGATCCCACACCATTGGAAGCCGCGATTTGAATTTCCTGCTGCCGATACTGCATCCCAATCTGCACGGCAGGGAGAGAGATGCGCGAAAGCTCTGAGAGCTGGAATTGGCCCAAACGGCATTGAGAGTGGGACTGGCTCGATCTGCAGTGAGTGAAATGGGGACCCATTCATAGACTAGGAGGTTCCAACAGAGGATATTCTGGGAACGGGCAGACTAGCCGAAACACAGCCCTGCAGTAACTTTAGTCACATATTCCCCTCTCAAGGGGGAGTGGTGGGGAGCGCTTGGCCTGGTGACTCCGCGGACTAAGATCCTGTAGGCTAGCCCAAATCAGGTCCCTGTGCCTGGCGGTGGCACCCTAGCAGTGAATCATTCAGTAGGTTGACCTGGAGGGGCGGGCCCAGCAGAGGCTGCCCAGATCTGTGTCTCCCTAGTACACTGCAGTGGGTGGGAACACCTAGCTGGTGGATTCAAACAAACTGCCACAGACAAAGAGAGAAAAAAAAAAAAAAACTGAGCCTCCTACATACGCTTGTATGGAAGGAACAAAAAGTATGGGAAAAGGGAGCAACAAGAAAAGCTCCTCAGTCCCCAATCCTGAGAACACTGATCCAGGTTTCCTGGTAAAAGCAAAAGAGAATGAAGACAGAAAACATGCAATATCAGACATGGCACCTGTAGATATAAAACGGTATCTCCGGAGCCTCATAGACGAGTTCAAAAATGAAGTATTTAATGAAATAAAGCAAGAAATAAGTAGAATAGTTAGAGAAATGCTAAGCACTGACCAAGAAAAAACAGATGGTGGAATGGAAGAACAGAAGAAAAGGGGAGAATTGTTTGATGGAGAAAATAGAGAAAACATAGAATACGTGAAGCAGGTTCACAGAGATTACCAGGAAACTAAAAACTCTATTGAAAGCTGGCATAACAGCTTGAAAGAAACTAAGGATAGATTATCAGAACTGGAGGACAGATTTGTAAGGTGGGAGCATGAAATGAAAAACTTCTTAAAAATAACAAGAAAACAAACAGCAATAATACAAAGACTAGAAGATGACAAGAGGATCTATAATTTAAGAATTAAGAACGTAAAAGAAGAAGTAGGGACTCAAACAAATGAACTACAAAAGCTATTCACAGAAATAATCCAGGAGAATTTGCCTAATTTAGCAAAAGGTAAAGATACTCAGATGTATGAGGCATACAGGACCCCAGCCACCTACAACCCAAACAGAGCTACACCCAGGCATATAATAATCAAAATTCCAGAAATCCAATATAAGAACAGAATATTAAAAGCCATCAGAGACAAGAAACAGATCACTTATAAGGGAACACCCATCAGAATTACAGCAGACTTCTAGGCACAAACCATCATATCATGAAGAGCGTGCGGGGAAATAATTCAAGCTTTGAATGATAATAACCTCCAGCCAAGATTGATATATCCTGCACAACTGTCCCTAAAAATTGATGGAAAAACAAGGTGCTTCCAGGATAAAGAGGAACTAGGGGAATTTGCAACCACCAATTCAACTCTACAGAGATTACTGCAGGATATTCTAAAAATGAAAAATACCAAGATTCCAGAAACAGTAGCAGAGCGGCCACAATGAATGGAGCAGAAAGCGAAATGAAGAGGACAAACTGACAACTAGTGACAGAAAAAAAGCTCAGCAGAAATGAGGCAGAGAAGGTTGGATGGTAGGAACAGCCATTTTGGAGAAAACAAGACATCATAATAGGTAGTGCTGATTTAATATCCCCTTGTTTTGAAGTCCCATCAAGCTTTTGTTCTTCTGTCTCCATCGGTTTTAATGTGTCGTATCTTATTGGATTTTATTATATGTGATAATATAAACAAAACTTTTATAGACGAGATTATACAGAAACCATTGTTCATTTTCTGTTAGTTGATTCTAAATACCCTGTAATACTGTCATTCTCTTGACTGGTTTTACATTGTCTTGATATGTTTGATGCTACAGTATACGAAGTTATACCCAAAGATTTTTTTTTTTTTTATTTAAGAGGAAAAAGAGAAAAACACAAAACAAACCAAAGCGGCGTAAGGGTACACGCAATACAGAACTACAAAACAAAACAAAACAAAACAAAACAAAAAACCATAACAGTAAGAAATTACCTGCTAGTAGATTACACACTATTTTCTTGAAAATAGTTCCTCAAATCACAGTATCAAAGAACACAAGGTGGACATTCAAACAGGGAGACTGCAAACAGCTGTGTTCAATGTTCCAAAAACATTGATAAAGTCAGCTATTTAACACCCCCAAACACACT